GTGCGGGGCGGGGGGGGGGGGAGGAAGGGGGTCGGAGGAGAGGGACAGAGGAGGGGGACAGAGGGGAGGGGGTCAGGGGGGAGGGGAGGGGGTCAGAGGACAGGGGAGGGGGTGGGGGGGAGGGGAGGGGGACAGAGGAGGAGGACAGAGGAGGGGGTCAGAGGGGAGGGGAGGGGGAGGAGGAGAGGGGAGGGGGTCAGGGAGGAGGGGAGGGGGGTCAGAGGGGAGGGGCGGGGGTCGGGGGGAGGGGAGAGGTGGGGGGGGAGAGGGGGTCAGAGGACAGGAGAGGGGGTCGGGGGAGGGGAGGAGGTCGGGGAGGAGGGGAGGGGGTCGGGGGGAGGGGAGGGGGTCAGGGGGGAGGGGGGAGGGGGGAGGGGAGGGGTCAGGGGGGAGGGGAGGGGGTCAGAGGGGAGGGGAGGGGAGGGGGTCAGAGGGGAGGGGAGAGGGTCAGGGGAGGGGAGGGGTGGGGGGGGAGGAGAGGGGGTCAGAGGACAGGGGAGGGGGGCAGGGGGGGGAGAGGAGGGGACCGGGCTCAGACCCACTTGTTAGACCTTCAAGGGGTGGCATCCATGCTGAGGGGGGGGGCTGCCTGGGAGTTGGGGTGTCAGGATCTGAGTAGCTGCACACACCTGGCTGGCTGTCACCAGGGACCCAGGAATGAGGGGCTCAGAGACTCTCTCACACACTCACACACACTCACTCTCTCTCACACACACACACCCTCCCCATAACAAGCTCACTCTGTCAGATTCTAACTACTCAGGAGGCTGCGATCTGAGGCGCACAGTTCAAAGCCCCCAGGCTTGAAGATGAGTTCTTCTTGGCTGAGGCCAAGGCCTGGCCCGCACGCGCTGGCTTCCTCTTGGACATAACTCTAGGAAGGAGGCGCGACCCTGTGCTGGGACGGAGGGGACTCAGGCCAGGCCCGGATCTGCCCAGGGAGACAGTGGGGGATCAGCAGAGGACGGGGCCCCTGTGCTGCGAACCTCTACGCCCCGCCTCCCCGCTCTGCTTCGCTCTTTCTTCTATTTTACTTTATTGCCGGTCCTGGGGCTTGAACTCAGGACCTAAGCGCAGTCCCTGAGCTTCTTTCGCTCAAGCCGTTGCCACTTGAGCCTTGGTGCCACTTCTGGCTTTTTAGGTGGTTTATTGGAGATAGAGAGGCTCCCAGACTTCCCTGCCCAGGCTGGCTTTGAACCTCGATCCTCAGATCTCAGCCTCCTGAGCAGCTAGGATGACAGGCGCTTTTTTTTTTTGCCCTGTCTGTTCTTTCCTGCTCCATCTCCATCCCGAGAGCTGCCTGCCGCCAGTCACCTGGCTGTCGGCCCACTTGGGTGTCTTAGGCAAGAAAGCAAAGCATTCCAGTCTCACCCCCATCCTGGGGGAGGGGTTCTGGTTTTGGAATATTCTGGAGAAGACAGGAATCCTTTGCCTACCATTTTTCAGAGTACCCCATTTCAGAACTGGGTTTCATTCAGTTATTGGGCCCTCTCCCTCCCTCCCTCCCTCCCTCCCTTCCTTCCTTGTCAGTACTGGGGATTGAACCCAGGACCTCAAGCTCTTTAGCTTTTTCACTCGGGGCTGGCATTCTACCACTTGAGCCACACACAGCTCCACTTTTGGAGCTTTTCCTGTCCAGGTGCCTTTGAGCCTGGTCCTCAGATCACTTCCTTCTGAGTGTCTGGGATTACAGGAGCCACCATAGCGCCCGGATATTCTTTCCTGCGCATTGTAAGGGAGCACGGAAGCGGAAGCCGGCCCTGGGCTTGGGAGAGGGCCAGGTCTAAGGCGACTGCCCTCCGTAGAGAAGCATCTGCAGGGATCGGGCCAGGGGCGCAGGCCTGGGCCCGGCTCTCCCTGGTCTCCTTCCTGCCTGGCTCTGGCTCATTTCCTGGGCCCAGGGACCTTCCCAGGTTTGGCTCTTGGGCCAGGAGGCGGGGCTGGCAGAACGGGAGTGAGCAGGACAGAACCAGTCTGATGAGCTGAGATGATGCCTTTAAAAAAGAAAATATCGTCTCCCTCATCTCCCTCCCGGGTGTCAGCACAGCTTGCCTGCTGCAAAACAGAAGGTGCCCTGGCAGGTTCTGGACCCATTTGTAGGACTCCAGCAAGTCTTTTCCTTTCAGCGTACCTCAGTTTCCCCAGCTGAAAGGAACAGGGTTGGACTGGCTGTGTGTGGGATGACTGTACTTTTTGGAAAACAAGTAGCACGAGGTTGGGAGCTCCAGTGAGGCCCGAGGGGTCCCCGATGGAGTCAGGAGCTGGGAGACCACATGCCTAAGGCTGAGGGGGGGGGCGGGGGGCAAAGAGCAGGGGGAGGGGCCCAGCCTGGTGGGGGAGGGCTTGAGCAGTTGGGGCTCCAGAGTCAGACGGTGTGTGCGCCCTCACCCCCCCCCCCCCGTGCCCACACGTGGGGAATGGGGTTTGTGGGCATTGCGGGTTTGACAGGTTGTGGTGAGAGTTGGATGTGTGCTTAGCAATAAAGCACGTAGCCAAAGGCAGGTCTTAGTGAATGCTAATGATTGTGTGGCGATTGGGCTGTGTGTGTGTGTGGGGGGGGGGGTTGTGTGTGTGGTTGTGTATCTGTTCTTGCAGACATGAAAGCCTAGAGTCTGAAATAGGGACCAATTTCAAGATTTGTGTGTGTGTGTGTGTGTGTGTGTGCGCGCGCGCACGTGCGCGTGGTGCCAGTCCTATGGCTTGAACTCTGGGCCTGGGCGCTGTCCCTCAGCTCTTCAGCTCACGGCTAGTGCTCTACCACTCAAGCCACAGCGCCACTTCAGGTTTTCTGGTGGTTCATTAGAGATCAGAGTCTCTCGGACTTTCCTGCCCAGGCTGGCTTTGAACCACAATCCTCAGATCTCAGCCTCCTGAGTAGCTAGGGTGCCAGGTGTGAGCCAGCGGCCTGTGGCTCACGCGTCTTAAAACACACTCACGTCCCCCGTGGGACTCTCTCCCACCACCGCCTCCCCCTTCCAGGTTCCCTGATCAGCCTCTACTGCTCTTCTCAAGAAGTCCTGTGCCAGATCGTGGGCAGCCTGAGCCCCGAGGCGCCCAGCAATGCCACGGCGGTCAGCTGGCAGGAGAGGATCAGGAAGAGCTACGGCTTCTACATCGGCGTGGGCCTGGCCTTACTCTCCTGCCTTCTCATCGGGAGCAGCGTCATCCTCAAGAAGAAAGGCCTCATCCGCCTTGTGGCCACAGGCTCCACTAGGGCCGGTAGGCTCCTTGGGGGGCATGGGGCGCAGGGCTGGGGAGCTCCCTGCGCTGGAGGAAGGCGTGGCTGGGTGCTGACTTCCCTTGGCAAGCTCGCTCACCGTCCCAGGTGCCAGGGATGGCTGAGAACTGCGGGGAGATGAGGGAAAGCCTCAGGACGCAGAGTTAGGAGCCGGCAGCTCAGGTCTGGCTTGATTCTTCCCCTCCTCCCAGCCCAGGCAAGTCCTGACACCGTCCTAAGACAGAAGCAAGTCTCCCCCAGATCTTCACGAGCCCCATTGCCCTGAGCTACACTGGGAAGCACTGCCCGCAAGGAACTTGGGATGTTGGGAAAGGGGAAGTGGATCCTTGAAATGGGTGTGTAGCAGTTCAGAGGAAAATAATCTTTTTTTTTTTTGGTTGGTTATGGGTCTTGAACTCAGGGCCTGGGCGCTGTCCCTGAGCTCTTCAGCTCAAGACTAGCTCTCTACCACTCGAGCCACAGCGCCACTTGTGGTTTTCTGGTGGTTCATTGGAGATAAGAGTCTCACGGACTTTCTTGCCCAGGCTGGCTTTGAACCGTGATCCTCAGATCTCAATCTCCAGAGTAGCTAGGATGACAGGCGTGAGCCACCAGCGCCCAGCGAGGAAAGGAATCTCATGGCCCAGAGTCCATCCATGGTTGTCAGGCGCTGGTGGCTCACATCCAACCCTAGCTACTCAGGAGGCTGAGAGCTGAGGATCAACAGTTTGAAAAACACAGGCCAGGCAGGAAGGTCTGTGAGACTGTGGCTCAAGTGGTAGAGCAAAAGAGCCCAGGCCAGGGCTGGGAATGTGGCTCAGAGCCCCAGGTTCGATTCTTCAGTACAACAGAAACAGAAAAAAGCTGGAAGTAACGCTGTGGCTCTAGTGGTAGAGCGCTAGCCTTGAGCCAAAGAAGCTCATATACAGTGCCCAGGCCTACCATTTTTCAGATTAGCACCCCATTTCAGAATTGGGTTTCATTCAGTCACTGGGTCCTCTCCCTTCCTCCCTCCCTCTCTCCCTCCCTCCCTCCCTTCCTTCCTTCTTGTTCTTTCTGTACTGGGGCTTGCACTCAGGGCCTGAGCACTGTCCCTGACCTTCTTTTTGCTCAAGTCTAGCATTCTACAACTTCCACTTTTCTGGTGGTTCACTGGAGATAAGTCTCACAGACTTTCACGCCTGGGCTGGCTTTGAACTGAAATCCTCAGGTCTCAGCCTCCTGAGTAGCTAGGATTATAAGCGTGAGCCACTGGTGTCTATCAAATGAATGAATTATTAAAGGGACGAGTAGAACTTAGCCAGTAAGGACGCCACCATTTCATTCGATGGAAGAGGACAGTGGCTTTGAGTGGGTGCTGGCAGAGGAGTGGATCCATTTGAGGTCCTTTTTAGAGACAGATCCACAGGCAGGCCTTAACCAGCGCCCTTTACTGTGCTTCCGTTTAGCTCCAAGTAAGCAGGGAATATTTCATACCAAAAATTGAGCCAAGTATGGTGGCCCAGACCTGTAGTTCTCGCTACTCAGGAGGTAGAGGAGGAGAATCTCAGTTCGAGGCTAGCCCATGCAACATGGTGGTTCCAGTTAAGACCAAGACTGGGGGTGTCTGTGAGAGACTTAAGAGGTGTCAGGGAAGCAATCCGTACACAACTGAGCTCGGAGGACTGGTGTGAGCCGTGGCTAAGGAGCAGAGCACTGTCTTTGGAGCTCTTCGGTGACACGTAGAGATCCAGAAGTCAGAGAGCCCGAGAGAGCATGGCTGCCCTCTAACTCTCCATCCCTTCCCTCCACAGTGGACGGCGGCTATGGGTACCTGAAGGACGCCATGTGGTGGGCCGGATTCGCCACCAGTAAGTGGCATCTTTGGGCACCGGAAGTGGTGGTGTGTTGACTGCAGGGTTGGGGGGGCCGGCTTGAACTCGGGGCCTGGGCGCTGTCCCTGAGCTCTTTTGCTCAAGGCGAGCGCTCTACCACTTGGAGCCGCAGCTCCACTTGCAATTTTTTGACTGGTTCATTGGAAATAAGAGTCTCCCAGGGACGTTTCTGCCCTAGCTTCGAACCACGATCCTCAGATCTCAGCCTCCCGAGAAGCTAGGATGACAGGCCTGGGCCCCCTGAGCCTAGTGGATGTGAGAGCTCAAGTTTGCTCAGATCTGCACACCCACTTGTCCTCTGCCCCTTCCCTGTCATCTCTGGCTCCTGGTTTCTGGTAGAGATGACTAGTCCCTGTGGACGGCAGGCATGCTCTACCAGCGTTGGCTTTGGGATTGGGGTCTTGAGCAGAGCTGGGGTTCGCCAATCGGCGTGAGCTGTGCGTGGCAGGTGTGGGGTGCTATGGACTTCACCCCCCCTCTCTTCCGCTCTTAGTGTCTGCTGGAGAAGTCGCCAACTTCGGGGCCTACGCGTTTGCGCCCGCGACGGTCGTCACGCCGCTGGGAGCGCTGAGTGTCCTCATAAGGTTTGTGTCCACCCTCGGCCATCTCAAGCCAGCCAGGCCTGGGGGCGGGGCGGGGGGGGGCTGCTGTCTTGGCATTCAGGCGTCTGGACGGGTCCCACCCCTCGGGAAGATGAGCCACAGAGGGGCAGCCAAACCCAAACCTGTCACCCAACTGCCACCAGGCTGAGCGTCTCCCAGGAGACTTTGTATATGCTTTCCCCTTTGGCAGGAGAACCCCAGATCAATTCTGCATGAGTTCTAATCCTCACTCTAACACGTAGCGGTCATGTTACTGTAGACTGTCACGGACGGACTCCGAGCCTCTATTGTCTCCATCTGTAAAAGGGGAATGCTCTTCACGTCCCCCAGGGCAGGTGTGAACGAGACAAGGCAGAAAGAGCGCTAAAGAGTAACCAGGGCTGGCCCTAATTTTGGATGGCTGGCCAGGTGATCAGTTTCCAAGTCCTCTGATCTTCCTCGGCCATCCTCACTCAAGACCATGAGAGCTCCCGCTACCGGGCCGAGATAAGCAGGTTCTAAGTAGAACCTCTGGCTTGCTATCCACAGTCTTAAGCTGTCTCTTATGTAACAACAAATGATAGGTTTGGGTTGTTTGCTTCTGTTTTGTCGGTCATGGGGCTTGAACTCTGGGCTCTGGGCCTGGGCGCTGGCCCTCAGCTCTTCAGCTCAAGGCAAGTACTCTAAACACTTGAGCCACAGTGTCACTTCCGGTTTCCTGGTGGTTCATTGGAGATAAGAGTTTCATGGCTTTTCCTGCCCAGGCTGGCTTTGAACAGCAATCCTTACATCTCAGCCTCCTGAGCAGCTAGGATGGCAGGCGTGAGTCACCAGCGCCCGGCTCAAATGATAGTTTTTAAAACAACTGATGCCAGAGCTGAGGATGTAGTTCAGTGGTTAAGTGATTATAGAGGGTCCAAAGCCTTAGATTGAATTTCTAGATTTAGTATAGATTTCTAGATTGAATTTGTATGTGTATGTGTGTGTGTGTGTGTGTGTGTGTGTGTGTGTGTGTGTGTGTGTGTGTAGACATAAAGTTGGGTATGGTAGCACATCCTGTGATCCCTGCTACTCAGGAGGTAGAGATAGGAGGATCATGGTTCAGCCTGGGTAGAAGTTAGCTTGTCATCCTATCTGAAAACCAACTAAAAGCAAAAGGACTCTGTGTGTGTGTGTGTGTGTGTGTGTGTGTGTGTGTGTGTGTGTGTGTGTGTGTGTGTGTGTGTGTGTGTGACTCAAGTGGGAGAGTATTTAACTATCAACGGTGAGGCCCTGAGTTCAATCCCCAGGGCTGCCATACACACACACACACATACACACACACACACACACACACACACACACACACACACACACACCAAAGAAAGAAAAGAACTGATATATATTAGATACATGCACCTCTCACATTCTTATTCCTGCCAAGCTGCAAAACCCAGAACCCATTCCTCTGTGGGTTGGGTCCTCAGGCCACAGTGAAGGAGGCTTTGGTTTGGAGGATTAACCTTGGAACCTTGATAAATCACAACCGAGCACAGCCAGTGCCCGTGACTTCTTGGTTAACAACATTTACACAGTCAGAACCATGGTTCACCCCGCACGATCTGTGTGATCAGTCTGACGTGGTTGTGGATCCCCGCTTCTCTCATCTATCCCATGGGGGACGTCCATCTCCACCGACTCTTCACAAAGAAGTCTTTTTGGGATTTTTGGTTGTGGAACTTGACCTAAGGGTCTGGGCGCTGTCCCTGAGCTCTTTCACTCAAGGCTAGCACTCTACCTCTTGGAGCCCCAACTCCACTTCAGGATTTTCTGGTCGTTCATTGGAGATAAGAGTCTCACAGACTTTCCTACCTGGGAAGGGTGATCCTCAGATCTCAGCCTCCTGAGTGGCTAGGATGACAGGTGTGAGCCGCCGGCATCTGGCTCACAAAGTTTTGAGCTGTTAGTGAGGTAGTAAATGGAACGTTGTGGGCACCACGTTTGGTATGAGGTCTACAACTCTCATTGTGGTTGCTTAGACGGGAATATCAAACAGAAGAGGAAAGAGGTTTGTCTTGTGGCCCAAGGGGACAGAATTGGGATCAGGAAGAAAAACTGCCAGAAGATAGGTAGGTAGGTAGGTAGGTAGATAGATAGATAGATAGATAGATAGATAAGAGGGAACCTCCACCCAGCCCTCCCTGCAGCTCACTTTGGTCTGAAAAGGGGTACGCTCTCCCTGCTGCCCCAGAACCCTCCCAGAAATGAGTTTCTATTTCAGCTGTTTGGGGGGGGAAAATAATCTAGAAAGGCTCCCATGCTAGAGAGGATTGAGTTGGGATCGGCTGTGTCTCACAAGTGCTTGCTCAACCCATGTTCCTTTGGGATACGGGCACAGGCGTGGGCTCCGGTCATCCCTCTCTCTCCCATGTCTACCCCCAGCGCTGTCTTCTCCTCCTATTTTCTGGGAGAGAGCCTGAACCTGCTGGGGAAGTTGGGCTGTGTGATCTGCATGGCGGGCAGCACCGTGATGGTGATTCACGCCCCGGAGGAAGCCAAGGTCACCACCGTCATGGAGATGGCTTCCAAGATGAAGGACACAGGTATGCTTAAAGCAGCAGCACCTGGGAAAACCCTGGGGGGAAGGGGGGGCCGAACCCTGTGGGATGTCTATTGGTCCATTGGGGGTCTGACCTCCTGCATAGGTGAGCTGTGGAAAGGAAGTTGGTGGGCGAGTACTGTTTGCAAGGCTAGCTTAAAGGACTTCCTGACCGGGCATCCAAAGATATCACTGATTGTTTATGAAGCACCAGGCACTGTTCTAAATATACATACATACATACATACATACATACATATATATATCTCCAAGTATGTAGATAAAACACATATAAGGGACCTTTGATGTCCTTTTATATGCTTTGTCTCATCCACTCTCCCCCAACAGTCCTACAAATATCACTGTTGTTGGTCTCTTTCAAATGAGGAAAGTGAAGCCTTGGGGGTTTAATAACTTCCCTGAGTTACAAAACGTTTCAAGCCAGGCACCAGTGGCTCATGCATGTAATCCTAGCTATTCAGGAGGCTGAGATCTGAGGATAGTGGTCGAAAGCCAACGTGGGCTGGAAAGTCCATGAGTCTCCAGATAGCCACCAGAAAACTGGAAATGGTGCTGTGGCTCAAAATGGTAGAGCACTAACCTTGAGCGAAAAAGCTCAGGGACAGCACCCAGGCCCTGAGTTCAAGTCCCACAATCAAAAAAAGAAAAAGGAAAAGTTTCACCACTGAGATAGTATTCCTGTCTGACTTTGGAGCTACGTTCCCCTGTCATTGGTGGGGGGGTGGGGGGTGGAAGGAGAGGGGGTAATCCTACATGCTGTCCCCATCCCTCACTTCCGGAAGGGTTCATCGTGTTCGCCGTGTTCCTGCTGGTGTCCTGCCTGGTGCTCATCTTCATCGTCGCCCCTCGGTACGGACAGAGGAATATCCTCATTTACATCATCATCTGCTCCGTGATCGGCTCCTTCTCTGTGACAGCCGTCAAGGGGCTGGGCATCACCATCAGGAACTTCTTCCAGGGGCTGCCCGTCGTGCGGCATCCCCTCCCCTACATCCTGTCTCTCATTCTGGCCCTTTCCATCAGCGCTCAGGTCAACTTCCTGAACCGGGCGCTGGACATTTTCAACACATCGCTGGTGTTCCCTATCTACTACGTGTTCTTCACCACGGTGGTGGTGGTCTCCTCCATTGTGCTCTTCAAGGAGTGGCACACCATGACCGCCGTGGACATCGTGGGCACCTGCTCCGGCTTTGTCACCATCATCTTGGGGGTGTTCATGCTCCACGCTTTCAAAGACTTGGATGTGAGCCACACCTGTCTGCCGCACATGCGCAAACACCCGGCGGCCCCAGGGCCCGGCCCACAGCCAACCGCCGCCGCCGCCGCCGCAGTCGTCAGACTGGAAGACAAGAATGTCTTGGTGGACAATATCGAACTTTCCAGCAGCACCCCATCCCCGGAACAGAAGCCCAAAGTGTTCACAATCCATTCGTAAAGCCGTGTATGGGTGTGAGGAGTCAGCGATCACCCCCACGGACCTCTCTCGTGGCTGCCCACCCCGTGGCCTGTGGGCATGGCTCTTCTGGAGATGTTTATACCTCAACACTGTTTCTAGGGGAGAAGAAAACAACAACAAAAATCCCTACCCAGCGAGTAGTGGGGGATGGAACTTTCTGGAATCACAGCCTCAGCGATCACATCCCCTCATTGATGTTGGAACCAGCAGGTCCCTGGACCCTCACCCTGTGCCTCACCTCGATACCATCTCTGTGTGGCCGGGAAGAAGATAGAATTTGACCCGTTGAATGTAGTACAGCCAAGAACTTCCCTGAGCTACTGGCATCAGGAACTTCCCCACCCAGAGACAGACCTTCCAGGTGGGAGCCCCAGATGGGAGCAGATCTAGAGACCCAGAGAGGAAGATGATGTCAGCCACCTCATCTCAAGGTGACTGTCCGTATCCAAAGGCCTCCCACCCTGCCAGATCCTCCTGGAGACAGAAAGAAGCCCCGATCTCAGCTGACCTTACTGTGAAAACCACCTGATGTCTCAGGGAAGTTTCGCCCAGCCCCATTCCCTACCTGCTCCAGCCTGGTGGTCCGCCATCTTGGTGTTCATCCACCCCAATGCCTACACCGCCGGCTCTTCCAGTGTCTGGCCATCCCAAGGCGTCAGTTGGTGAGATGCGCATGCCATAACCTTAGAACGTCAGCTTTTGCTGACCGAGCCCCATGGCCATGTTCTCTTCCCCTGGAGAGAGGACAATTTCCCTGCTTTTAAGAGTGGCCCGTGGCGGGAGTCTGTAGCTCATGCTTGTAATTCCTAGCTACTCAGGAAGCTCAGAGCTGAGGATCAAGTTCGAAGACGGCCTGGGCAGAAAAGTAGAGGAGTTTTTTCTCTCCAATTACAAAAAAAAAAGGTGGAAGTGGAGCTCAAGTGGTAGACATGCCTTGGGCCAAAAAGCTAAGAGACAGCGCCCTGGCCTTGAGTTCAAGCCCGCATTACTGGCTCACACATCCCAAAGAGAGTCCAGATGCCAGGCTGGAGTCTGGCCTGGGGTCTGGCATCATGCATCTTCCTTTCCTATCAGCGTGTGATTTAGGGAGCCCAGGAGAAAGGTCAGGCGTGGCAGAAGGCAGCTGCGAGCTCACGCGGGGCTTCAGCCCGTGCTCAGCCTGGCACCCAGGCTGAAAGGATGCTGGGTAATATCTGAGCAGCAGTGCTAGGGCGTGGCCTGGCTTTTAATTCCCAGCAGCCAAGTCAGAATCCCTGACTTGTATTTGGCCAGAGGCAGCTGGAGAATTTTCTGGTGTGTGTGTGTGTGTGTGTGTATAAGGATCATCAGAAAGCCAGTGAGTAGGAAGGCTTGAATCCCCCCCTCCACCCCCATTGGTACAGAGACACCCCCCCCCCATGGAGTTCCCTGTCCACAGGTCAGATTCCCTCGGGAGCTGCAGCCAGGTGAACCCCGGGGGGGCTGGGCTGCACTGTGTTCTCCCCACTCCCCGCCCCGCTTCCCGTGAATGTGGATTTCCGTCTGCAACTGAAGTCAATGCAACGCATCAGAGCTTACGAATGGCGGGGACCCCGAGAGGGAACTCCAGGGTCCAGAATAAAAACTATCTTTCCCAGTGGGGGGACTCCATGCGCGTACCTCCACCGTGATCATGTAAGGAAAGCCAGCCCCGGATCTCCAGGAGAGCAGGTGACCCTTCTGGAGTGTTCTACTCTTCTAACCTCACTACAGAGTTCCAGCTGCCGTTCATACCTGGGCCCTCACCGAGCAGCACCTTGAACCCTTCCCAGATCCGCCAGGCATGCGCCGTACCTTCATTCCCAAGAAAAGGGGCTCAGAGACATTGGAGAGTTGGCCACGGTCACACAGCACAAAAGAGTTGATATCTGGTTCTAAGCCCACCACGGTCACAATCATGAGGCCACAGTGTGCCTTCCCCCAAAAGGAAATGCCCCCCCATTCCATTATCAAGCCCGATTCCCCATCAGATTATAGATACATTGTCTTGTAGATACAATGTAATGTTTCCACATGAGCTACTTGAGCAGGTCTAGATTTATCAAGTATCCGAAGTGACCCACACATAGTTGGCATTCATATGATGCTCAGTAATGTTATTCATTAATATATATGTATTATGCATATAATAATGATGTGCATTATAATTATGTATATATATATATATATATAATATATGTATTATGTATAACACACACACATTTGGCTTTGTAATAAGGGACACATGCCAGCTCCAAGTCCTATTTTGCCTAAATTCTTCGGGGAGCAGTGTGGAAGGAAGCCCCTAGTCTGGGCCTTTCCAGCTCATAGGAGTTCATAGCACCGCTAAGTGTTTACACCAGCCAGCTTTCCACCCTATATTAAGTGTACCAGGTGCACTGGTGGCTCATGCCTGTAATCCCAGCTGCTCAGGAGGCTGAGCTGGGAGGATCATGGCAGGAAGCCAGCCCAGGCCGACAAGTCAGAGACTTTCCTCTCCAATTAATTAGCAAAAAGGCGGAAGCGGAGCTGGGTGTGGCTCAAGTAGAGTGCCAACCTTGAGAGAGAAAAAAAAGCGGAGTGTATAAAGGCCCCCAGTTCGAGCCCTGGCACCCACACACAAGAGAGATCGATCAGGTTTAGTTTGGCTCCTGGTTTCGGAGGTTCTGGTCCGTGGTTGCTTGGCTCTGTGGCTGTAGGTTTGTGATGGGAATGCCAGGCAGAGCGCAGCTCTGGCTAGAAAGTGAAGCCAGAATGAGGATGGGGGTGGGGGGGGGAGAGAAGAAGGTCTCCATCTTAAAAGTGTCCCCGCCTCCCAGTAGAGGTTCCTTGGGGACAGAACCTCCAAAATCTATGGGGGAAGGAAACACAGCTAAGGCCCAGATGGTACAGGATTATTCCTGTCTGGATAGGAGACAGGAATAGAGACTAGAGTCTCTGGAGAGACTAGTCTCCACCCCATTTCTGTGAAGATGAACTAAAGCAGTCCACATCAAGAAAAAGCATGGTAGGTTAGGGCACGGTGAGGCATGCCTTTAATCCCAGCCACTTGGGAAGTGGAGGCAGGAGGTTTGCAGATTCCAGGCAGACCAAGGTTATCCAATCTCAGAAAGAAACAGCAAATACACTAAAAGGGCGGGCCTGTAGCTCCGTGGTGAGCAGCTGGCCCATCGAGTGCGGGCCGCAGGTTCGGGACCGCACTGCCACAGAAGTAAACAAGCGGCAGCAGAGCTTCCAGTGTCTAGGCCGCTGCCCACGGTGCCCCTCACTTCGTTACCCTCAGCCTCTGAATGGAGGTAGGGATTGAGAAAACAAAGGACGATTTTTTTTTCTTTTTGCTGGTCCTGGGGTTTAAACTCAGGGCCTGAGTGCTGTCCCTGAGCCTCTTTGTGCTCAAGGCTAGCGCTCTACCATTTGAGCCACAGCGCCGCTTCCGGCTTTTTCTGAGGAGTCTACTGGGAGAGAAGAGTCTCACAGACTTTCCTGCTCTGCTGGCTTCGAACTGGGATCCTCGATCTCAGCCTTCTGAGTCACTAGGATTACAGGCGCAAGCTACCAGCGACTAGGAAGATTACTTTTATAGCACAGGTTTTGGGATCAAAGCCCAGCTCTCTGACCTCTGCTTCCATCTTTAGGGTACAGATCTTAGCAATGAAATGAAGGGGAGAATTGAACTTCTCGGCTTCCTCCTAAAGGCAGTAATGGAGGATGGGCATGGTGGTGCATTCCTGCCATCCCAGCTACACAGGAGGTAGAGGTAGGAGAATCACAGTACAGGTTTTCCTGTCTGAAAAGCAACAGTAAGCAAAAAAGGCCTGAGGAACTGGCTGGTTCGAGGTGGGTAAAGAGCTTGCCTGGTAAGGAGTAAGGTCTCGAGTTCAAATCCCACCAACGCCAAAAATAAGATAAAGGCAATAGTACAGGAGATGAAAGATACCAGATGTCCACGATCGTTCAGGAGTTTCGTGATCCAAGATCCAAATTACGCAGGCTGGCCTCTGTCCGGTGGGAGGCAAACAGCCCCCTCTGCTGGTCGTGGAGAAGCCTTGCTAGGGCTTGGCTGTGGCTCACAGTGCTAGAAGCATCCATGGTGGCCTGAGCAGAATGCACTTTTGTTCCTGGAGGGACCTTTTTCTGAGAGGAAGTGGGCTCAGTTAACCCTGTGCGGTCGGAGCAGTGGGACCCGCCCATAACTACAGGCAAGAAAGAGCTGCCACGCCAGAGAGCATTGCAAATGCAAATTCATTTTAATTAAATACAAACGAGGAAAAACGAAACAACAAAACAGGGAAACCCACAAGGCACCACGGCCCGTTCAAGTATTTTGCATAGATGTACAAATATTGTAAACAATTAAAAGTGGACGCGAGGAGAGCAAGTTTTCTATGCTAATCGCCTACACTGGAAAAAAAAAAAGAAAAAGGAAATTCACATTGATCTGGATCCTAGACATATCCGTACACTTACATGGTGGGTGGGTGGGAAAAGGGAAGCTTTGGGGGGGGGTCCCCTTAGCTTGCTAAGCGGGCCCAGGGGCGCAATGATGAATGCATTGAACAAAATCACTACCTTTAGAACTGGCCCCAAGAAAAAAAAACAACAAAGATCCACGTGTTGCCTCTCCTATTTGCAACTATTTGCACACTTCTGACCTGGCTCAGGAGCGCTGGACGGACAGACATCTGATCTTCATGCCTACAATGCCCCCTGTCGCTACTAAGTGAGAAGCCTGCAGGACGCCGATTTCACTCCTACAAAACAGACGGACATCCTCCTCCCGCAAGCAGAGGGAACTCAGTGAAGTTTCCCTCCTCCAACGCCAGATCGGAGGCTTTCTAGAACTTACCCCTGGCCCTGGCCGGCCCACGCAGTGAGTGGACACCGGTCATGTCCTAGAAATTATGTCTAGCCATGGTCACACCTTCCCACCCCAGGCCTCCGCGGCCAGGCTTTGAGATGCCCGGGTATTTGGGCTGGGCTGGCTCCGGGTACCGCCTGCTTCAGGAATCCACCCCTGCCATCCTGGCCACCCAGGAGGCTGAGATCTGAGGCCCTCGGTTGGAAGCCAGCCTGGCAGGGAAGTCCTTGAGACTCTTATCTCCAATTAAGCACCAGAAAAACCAGAAGCGGCGCTGTGGCTCAAAGTGGTGGAGCGCTCACCTTGAGCAAGAGAGCACTCAGAGCCGTGAGTTCAAGCCCCATGACCGGCCAAAACTAAACTAAATCCCCTCCTATCCCCGTGATGTTCCTGCCTTGGTCACCGTCCTCTAGAATAAAGTCTCCCTTTCCTGGAGTCCAGACGTGTGCGCGCCTGACACTGTAGACTCGCACTGGTTGGGGGAAAAGATGGTGCGAAATGGGCGTTGTCCCTCCCACCCCAAGCCGTCTCTGACCCGTGGAAAACACCCCCCCACCCAACCCCACGGCCCCCTAAACAGAGCCAGGAGTGAGGCGGTGAATAGAACTCATTATCAAAAGTTCCCGATCTGATTCAAAAAGCCTACCGGCTTCCAGTTCACAGTATCATTTCATGGGACGAGGGATGCGTTAAAATAACAGCAAAGGAAAAGGAAAAGCAAGGAGAACACGACGCGGTCCACTTCCCGCTCCAGTTCTAGGGACGGTGGATTTCAGGGTCAGAAGAGTCGTACAAGCCGGGCACTGGTGGCTCACACCTGTCATTCCTAACTACACAGGAGGCTGAGATCCGGAGGACTGCGGTTCAAAAGACCGTCCACGCGGAAAAGGCCACGAGACTCTTATCTCCAATTTAACCAACAAAAAGCCAAGCTGGAGGTGTGGCTCAAGTGGTAGAGCACCAGCAGAGTAAGCAAGCCGATTGAGGGCACAAGGGCTCTGAGTCCAGACCCTATTACTGGCAAGCAGACAGACAAACGGACAAGCGTCACGTGGTTATGATGGCTGTGGTTTTGTCACCAGAGAGAAAGAAAGAGAGAGAGAGAGAGAGAGAATGGCCACACAGTCCACAGGAGCATGTAGGGGTCCAGGGCTGGGCTGAAGCAGTTTCTTGTTGGCTTGGGGTGAGGGATTCCCTTTTCTGGGGCCCCAGCTCCAGCGTGAGGCTCTTTGGTGCAGTGTGCACACGCAGGGCTGTTTTCTGTGGAAATCAGAGCGTGGCCACATGGATCACGGGCCCTCGGGGTCGGGACCCGTGCTGTCCTGACGTCTGTCCGACCCCACTCCATGTCCGTGGCTCTGGTACCCACCCCACACCCCCTTGCCTGCAAGCCCAAGTGACTTCCGCCCAGCAGCAGTGTGCGGAGAGCTGGGAGGAGGCCGTGGGGAGGAGGATGGGGGCCAGAGGCTCGGCCGCCTCCTCACAACTGAGGTTTCCAAGCGTAAACAATTGCTCCCTGAAGGAGGTGAGGAGGGGGCGCCCCTGGAAGAAGTGGGTACTAAGCCACTCAGCACCTTTTTTGGAGGGAGGGGTGGAGGCGGGAGATGGCCCTTCTGAGAGCATCCCCAGCTACTCTATCGAAATGGCCCCCTCTAGCAGAGCACCGTGCAGCCTCCGCTCTGGACCCCCGAGCAAGGCGGACTCCTTGGGGAAACCGAGTCCACCTTCGGCTCAGGGGTCTTTCGGGGAGGGAGGGTCAGGTAGGGGCTGTTGGAGAGAATGAGAGGGAGTGGGTGGCAGAAAGCCTGCCTGGGAGCCCAGTGCTGTGGCTCCCGCCTGGAATCCCAGCCGCTCAGTAGGACGAGCTCTGAGGATGGCAGTCTGAAAGCCAGCCCGGGGCGGGAGAAGTCTGCGAGACTCTGATCACCCATGAACCAGCAGCAAAAGAAGCCAGAAGCGGAGCTGTGGTCGACCGCCGGCCTTGAGCAAAAATATAAAGCTAAGGGACAGCGCCTAGGCCCTGAGTTCAAGCCCCTGTGTCCCCGCACACCTACAAAAAAGCCTGGTGGGGAGGTGGGGTGGAAGAGGGGCCCCCCAGGGAGCTGCTGCTCACTGCGGCCTCGAACCCACACCCCCAGAGACGCGTGCAGCCGCCTGGTTAGAAACAGGTCTGCCGTCCGCTCCGAGGGGGACAGAGACCCACATCCGGTCAAGGAGCCCATCACAAGGGGTGCGGTCTCCCCTGTGCGTGCCGGGATGGCCACTGCCATCCCTGGGGGACCCCAGATGCGGGTGGGGGGAGGGTGTGTGTGTGGAGAACGCTCACCCCCCACGGGGCAGCAAACGACAAAGACAGACCAGCGCCCGGCGCGGGGCCTGCTGGGTCAGCGCAGGACCTGCACACCCCTGGGGCTGGACCCTGACTCTCATCGGCCACCAGCGCGGCGCCCCGACGGCTCAGGGCCCACCCCACAGTACCATGGGAGGCTGGACGGCACGCGGCGGCCACGAAGCGCGGGAGGGCACGGGAGGGACTGGCTGGCTACAGGGCAACCTTTGGCATCGGCTCAGAGGCGGCCCCGGCCTGGGGCGCCCCTGCTGTCTACACTGCTTACAACAACTAGTACCTGTCAGCGTGGGGACCCGCGGGAGGGAGGAGGGGGAGACGGGGAGGGGGGTGGAGGGACGGGACGCAGCCACTCTAGGTCCTGGGCGGCCTCTCCCGCCTGGCGCGGGCCAGGGCGGCCGGGCGGCCTCGGGCCGGTCCACGGCAGCCTCGCCACCCCCTGCCGCGGGGCTCCCGGAGCTCTCCGGGCTGTGTATTGCACCAAACAACACGGACGAGCCATCGGAGGGGAGATCCTCTCCCGCGGGTGTCTGAGGACACCCAGCCGGCCTCGCGTCGAGGGTGGGGGGAACGGACGGACGGACGGACGGACGGATGGACAGAGCGTTCCAGAATGTGACCCCGGGAGGCAGGAGGAGCTGGCTCCAAGGAGGCCACACAGACTTCACACCCAGATCCCGTGACTCTGGGATCCACTCGGCAACATCCGGCATCCTCGAGAAACTTCTAGATGCTTCTAGATCTTGGAGCTGGTCATGGCTCCAGTCCTCTGGGATCGGTACTGGGGAAGCTGGAAGGGAAGAGAAGCGGGGGCTGGGCTGGGGACTTGGCCACAGAGGAGCAGGAAGAATAGGGACGGGGTGGAGGCAGCGGCCCTGGGCCAGGCAGCTGTGTCCGTGTGTGTGTGTGTGTGTGTGTGTGTGTGTGTGTGTGTGTGTGTGTGTGTGTGTGTGTGTGTGTGTGTGTGTGTGTGTGTGTGTGTGTGTGTGTGTGTGTGTGTGTGTGTGTGTCCGTGGGGGAGGGGGGGGAATTGCTTCCAGTGCCATCTGGGGGACAGGAAGATAAGAGTCAAGCCACGGGTGCGGCTCCATGTAAAGCGTCCATCATCAGGAGATCAAGTCCATACACCCAGGCATCCGGAAGCAACAGGCTTCCAGCTCTGGCTTTCCTTCTAGAAGTTTCCACCAGAGAAGTGCAACCACACACCGGTGCACCCCGGTGCCTCGGTGAACTCACCCTCGGGGCAGGAGCGATCAGAGGCTGGATCTGCAGGGGTCCGGCCGCAGGCGGCTGCAGGGCAGGGCCGCCGCCCGGCCTGGGGAAGGCCCTGCGGCCCGGCACGGGGTTGGCTGGGAGCGCCTTCTGGGGCGGCCGAGGCCTGGCGAAGTCCTGGAGAAAGAAAGAGGCCAGCACTGGAGGGGAACAGCCGCAGGACAAGCGCTGGAAATCAGAGGGGGAAAGCCACGGGCTGAACGGCCCGCGTCTAACAGGAATGCAGTCCTAGGTGGGCAAGGGGCTGAGATCCAGGACTGCAGTTCAAAGCCAGCCCTGGCAGAGAAGTCCCAGAGACTAAAATGAAGGTGGCTCAGTGGTAAGGTGCTTGCCTTGCATGCATGAGGCCCTGGGTTCGATTTCTCAGCACCACATAAGCAGAAAAAGCCGGAAGTGGCACTGTGGTTTCTCCTAAGTCTCCCTCGTCCTCGCGTGACCCTTCCTGACTGGGCCCTGATTCCTTCTGGCTCTTTCCTTGAGGCAATCTCAAGGCTCTGCAGCCCGGAATTCACTGCGCAGCCTGGCTCGAGCATTTCCGCCTTGCCAAGACACTAGATTGGATTAAGGCCTGTCCCAGTGGATTTTTTTTTTTAATGGAGCTGTGATATTTATTCATATATTCTTTCATTTCTTTTGACATTATTTCATAGCTTTTGGTGCACGCATCTTGCGCTTACTCTGTTTGGGGCCATTATAATAGAATTCCGCCTAATTTCTTTTCTTTTTAATAATTTTTTAAAAATTGAGACTAAGTGAGCTGTCCCTGAACTGCTTTTGCGCAAGGCTAGCGCTCTACCATGTGGATTCTCCCCTTCACACCATGCCCCCTCCCACACAGAAACAAGACGGCAGCAGATCCACAGCCGAGAACCAGACCTCCTCTCATGCCCTCTGGGCCCCCAACCCATCATCCCACGGCCTGGACCAAGCCCACGGTCATGGTGAGGGTTGGCACCTCGCCGGCCATCTGCAGGGCCTCACCCAAGACCCAACAGCCCAGTCCCAGAAGCCACCACGCCAGCCAGGACCCCAGCAATGCCCTTGTGCATACCGGGGACTCAGGCAGATGGGTCAGAGGCCCCGCCGTCACCTCCCGGAAGTCCCGCCCGATGCACAGCCCCTTGGATGAGCAAGGCATCCATCAGTAAGAGGAAGACGTCATGAGAGCGCTACAAGGAAGCGAGCTGGGATTTGGGGTGAGGGTGGGGGAGATCTCCCCCAGGGAGATGTGACATCCCGGATCCAGTGACGGGCAGAAGACGCCTGTCAGTCCATGTGGCACTTGCAATGGGGGTGAATTGGGGTAGAAAGTGGCTAATGGGGGGGGAAGCTGTAGTTGGGGGGGGCATGTGGAGGTGGGCACTTGGCTTCAATCACTGTACTGCCCACCCCGCTGTGAGCCCCCGGGGATCCACCAAGTCCAACTCCACAGCTGCTGGCCCCTGGCCACACTAACCATATCCCCCGGCTCAGGCTTTCTGAGAACTTACCTGGGAGAGGAGGCAGTTTGGGGCGGGGGGTGCAGGCCGGCTGGGGGGAGGCCCCCTGGACGATTCCTTTCTCTGTACTTGAGCCCCGGGGCTTGGGGAGCTCTTCGGCACCCTGTTCAGGTGTGCTGGCGGCGGGGCGGTGGGAGACTGGTCACGCAGGTAGTCGGGAGGGGGCCTGGGGGGAGGCTGGGAGGGCTTCCGGAAGATTTCCGGGGTGCTGCTCACCTGTTGTGCACGAGACAAGGAATACCTCAGGTGAGGAGTCCTCAGTGCTCTTTGGGGCTCAGGGTACCCTACATAGGAGTTCAGATGAAAAGTCCCGAGGGAGACAGGTGTGGTGGGCATGCCTGTAATCCCCGCTGCTGCTTCGGAGGTGATGATGAGGATTGTGGATCAAGGCCAGCCTGGGTCACGGTTATTAGCAAGACCTTTTCCTACCCCTCCCACATGGGCCGCATGGGCTCTTGGGAAAGTTGAGGAACTGCCACAGCACCAGGCCCTTACCTTCCGTTTGCCCTGGGGCGTCCGCAACTTGAAAGTTGGGTTGGCATGACCAGATCCACTGTTCTGGGACACCCTGAAGGGACAGCTGGAAAGAAGGAAGAGGGAGGAGATTGTGCAGCCCAGGGTGATGAAGATCATCTAGTAATGTCTGTCCCTTAGAGAAGGATCATCTGTTCATGTCTGCCACAGCCACAGAATGTGGCACAAACAGAGAGGGCATTCTCTTTCCCTGGATTAGACCCGCAATCACCAACTCTTTCACCAAATACTGTCAACAGACAGCTTTTCAACCTGGAAGTGGGGATCCCCCAAGTCCTTCCCAGCTCCCCGTTTTTACCTGAACTGTTGCCGCAGCTTGGAAGGAAGGGCCAAGGGCTGGAGCTGGCTCAGTTTGCTGTTCTGTCGGCAGCAGTGGCATATCAGCAGAAAGACTACCAGGACGAAGAGAGCAGAAAACACTCCAGCCACCACAGGCCCAGCACCTTCCAGAAACAGAACCCGAACAGGAGATTGAAAAGCTGCTCCAAGACAGCAAAACTATGTGTTCCCAACTCTTCAGAAACCTGATTCACCTGTCATTTGTATGACTTGTTTTAGCTGACAAATTATGACTTATATCCTACGAGGAGCTTGAAGACCGGGCTCAATTTGTTTAGCTCGGACCTTATAAATAAGAAACCGTTACAGCCATCTCTGTTTAATTGGGGGAAGATTCTCTTTTGGGATAAGCAGTTCAAGTTCTATCCTTCAGCACTAGTTTTCACCCTGAATCAGGATCTTCCTGGACAGGACAAGATTAAACTGTGTGTGTGTATGTGTGTGTGTGTTTGAGAGAGAGAGAGAGAGAGACAGAGACAGACAGACAGACAGAGAGAGAGAGACAGAGAGACAGAGAGACAGAGACAGAGAGACAGAGACAGAGAGACAGAGAGAGACTGAGACTCATTCAGTACTATAACCCTCAATTCTCACTCTCCATTTCCCATTTGGTTCCATTAAAACTTTATCTTTTCTTCCCTAATAATCAGTTTAAGAAAAATAACAAAGTCTGTTTAAACCAACCAGATTCACTTGCGTGTGTGTGTGTGTGTGTATGTGTGTGTGTGTGTGTGTGTGTGTGTGTGTGTGTGTGAACTGGAGCTTGAACTCAGAGCCTGAGAACTGCCCCTTAGCGTTTCCACTCAAGGCTGGAATTCTACCACTTGAGCCACAACTATATGGCTTTTTGGTAGTTAATTGTAGATAAGTGTCTCACAGACTTTTTTTGCTGGGCTGGCTTTGAACTGTGAGCCTCACATCTCAGCCTCCTGGGATGGCATAAACCATCAGTGCTTGGATATTTCTAAATGCTTTATAGGGTTTCTTCCCCCAAAGCCCCAATCCTCTGTGTTTAAAGAACTTTAGTACTATGAAGAATGAAAAACATGTTGGGTGCTGGTGGCTCACACCTGTCATCCTAGCTACTTAGGGGGCTGAGATCTGAGGATCATGGTTCAAAGCCAGCCCAGGCAGCAAAGTCTGTGAGACTCTCCAATTAACCATTAGAAAATCAGAAGTAGCACCGTGGTAGAGCACTCACATTGAGAAAAAAAGCTCGAGTTCAAGACCTATGACCGGCAAAAAGAAAAGAAAAAAGAAAAAAAAAAAAGGAAGCGACAGGCTTTGACACGCAGCGACTTCTCACTAACAACCCGCCAGGCATTTCTGTGCCTATGTTCATCTTACCAACCCCAAACGCCTCAGGCCCCTGATTTCCAAGCGCCCCCAGAATGACCAGTTACCACCTCACACCCCCAAAAGAAGTGTAGCTATGCCACGACCTCGGGTCCCCCTGAATTCCCTCGCAACTAAGTGAGAGAGACCCAGCCGGGCTCCCACGCGGCTGCCGCCCCCCAGACGGCCCGCACTCACTCGCGGGGGGCATGGGCCCACTGTCGATGCTCCCCCCATGGCCGGGGGTGTTACAGAAGGGGGGCGCCCAGCCCCTGAAGCAGTGGCAGTTTTGGTTGTTGTTACACACCTAGAACGAGGGGAAGGCAGAAGTGTCAGCACCTTGGAGAGCTCCAGCCTCCCTCCAGCCTGCCCCCCAGGACACTAGCACCCCACAGCCTGCCCCCCAGGACACCAGCACCCCACAGCCTGACCTCCCAGGACACCAGCACCCCACAGCCTGCCCCCCAGGACACCAGCACCCCACAGCCTGCCCCCCAGGACACCAGCACCCCGCAGCCTGCCCTCCCAGGACACCAGCACCCCACAGCCTGCCCCCCAGGACACCAGCACCCCACAGCCTGCCCCCCAGGACACCAGCACCCCGCAGCCCGCCCCCCCAGGACCGGTCTACCTACCCCGTGACCATTGCATTTCTTTTCACAGTTTTCGGCGTCAAAGAAGGAGGCGTTTCTGCACTGACCATCGAAGCAGATCTGCGGGGGACACGGGAGGAAGTCACTGAGCTCTTATTACAGTGGGCAACGAAAGACGCGAAAAGGCCAAGCACAATGTTTTTTGTTTTAGATAAATTCAGCTCTTAGCCTCATGATTAAGGCGGAAGCAAACAAAACATTGCAGTATTAAAATATGATAGGAACTGCGTGCCGGTGGCTCATGCCTCTAATCTTAGCTATTGGGGAGGCTGAAATCTGAGGATCTTGGTTCAAAGCCAGCCCTGGTAGGAAAGTCCATAACACTCATCTCCAATAAACTACTCAGAAAAAGGCAGAAGTGGCACTGAGGTTCAAGTGGTAGTATGCTTGCCTTGAGTACAAAGAGGCCCAAGGACAGCACCCAGGCCCTGAGTTCAAGGTCCAGGACTGGTAAAAAAAAAAATAATATAATAAAATATGATATACTGTTAAGCGCTAGTAGTTCACACCTGGAATCTTAGCTGCTCAGGAGGCTGAGATCTGAGGATTAGAGTTTGAAGCCAGCCAGACAAATTCATGAGACTTTTTTTTTTTTTTTTTGGTCAGTTGTGGGGCTTGAACCCTGGGCCTGGGCGCTGTCCCTGTGCTCTTCAGCTCAAGGTGAGTGCTCTACCGCTTGAGCCACAGCGCCACTTCAGGTTTTCTAGTGGTTTATAAGACTCTCAGGGACTTTCCTGCCTGGGCTTGCTTTGAACCGAGATCCTCAGATCTCAGCCTCCTGAGTAGCTAGGATTACAGGCGTGAGCCACCAGCGCCCGGCCTCATGAGACTCTTATCTCCAAATAACCAGCACAAAGCCAGAAGTGGAGGCATGGCTAAGCTCAATGCTCTGAGTTCAAGTCCCTGTCCAGACACCCTGACATACCCACACTACACACACACACGCACACACACACACGTCTTATATATACAATACAGATATATGCATATTATACAGACTATACATATATACGTACATACATGCATATACCATAACATATGTATAGTGTGAAATAATTCTAATAGTGTAAAATAATATTTCATATATTTTTCACATATGGTCTACGTTGCTACTGTGTTATAATTATTAACATGTACTTAATAGTGTTCTGTGCTAGGAACTATAGGAACTATGCTGTGTATTTTGCATTTTTTCCTTTTCTAGGTCCAAGATCAGGACTTGAACTGGGTACTTGATGCTTTTCACTCAGGACTAGCCCTTTACCAACTGAGCTGAGTCATGCCTCCAACCCCCACATTTTTTTCTCTTTTTTCTTTTTTTTTTTGGGGTCCAGTCGTGGGGCTTGAACTCTGGGCCTGGGCGCCGTCCCTCAGCTCTTCAGCTCAAGGCTAGCGCTCTACCACTTGAGCCACAGCGCCACTTCTGGCTTTTTTCTTTTTGCTTATGTGGTGCTGAGGAATCGAACCCAGGGCCTCATGCATGCAAGGCAAGCGCTCTACCACTGAGCCACCTTCCCAGCTCCATTTTTTTTTTCCTAAAACCATTTCATGCGCACGATTCATGCTGTGAGCCTGGCATGCTCCTCCGCGACGCTCCTGGAGAGGAGCTGGTTCACCCTTCCTCTATTGCTGTTGCAGTAACGAAGCCAGCCAGGCTGTGCCGTCATTGCGCCCCCAACGTTCATGAAGGAAATCCTATTGGCTCAGATGTTGGGGAGCCTGGGGAAGCTCAGAGATTGAGAGCCTAGCCTTCCCTTCCAGAACTCTCTGTCTGACTCTGTGCAGCGCCTTCCAGAGCGGGGCTGTGGGGCGGGGGAGGGACTCACGTGGTTGGGGCCGCACTTGGTCCCGGTCATCACCAGGCCCGGGTCCAAGCTGTCCACCTCGTCCTCGTTGCTCCGGTAGAAGTGGACCCCGTAGCACTCGATCGTCCGTTTGTTCAGAGTGATGGTGGTCTTGATGGGCACCGCGTTGGACTCCTTGGCTTGGGCGTCGGGGATGTGACACTGGATCTTCCCACACTTGACGTCTCTGTACCCCAAAGGGAGAGAGGGAGGGAGGGAGGGCGGGGAGGAGACGCGATCAGAGCAGGGTACCCCCCCCCCCAGCTGCAGTCTTTCTTGGTCCAGGCTTGAGTGGGGTGGGACAGAGGGACAGAGAGACAGACCGTGGTATAATTAGCACTCTGCACCCAGGATTGAAAGAAGGCCACCGCCCCCCCCCCCCACACATACACACACTCCATTCTCGCACCTGCCATGGGGCTGAAGGATGCACTATCAAGACACAGGCCAAGAACGGCTCCAGACTGCAGGTGACACGTGCAAAGGCCCCAGTGGGAACTGGGGGCGAGGGGGAGGGGGAGCTGTCATTCCACGCCCCGCCGGGGTGGGGGAGGGGGTCCTGGGAGCCTTACCTTATATTGCATTTCTTGGGTTGGCCATGTATGTCTCTCCCACAGTTGCCAAAGTGGTCCCCTGCCACATTGACCTTCTCGAAGCAGTCATCCGAGGCAGTCCAGGCTCCTGGATTTGGGAGACACACCCTCTCAGTACACCAGCCTGCCAGAAGCCAGCCAGGGCAAAGCGAGCCTGGAGCGGAAGCACCAGGGGAAGGGTACTTTGCGGAGAGAAAGCCTCAGCCTCTTCCACCTGAAACCTCTCTCGGTACTGGTACTACCCTCGTATTTTCATCAAGATCCATTTAAATAAAAAGTTTTAAGTTCATTGTAATGCTTTATGAAGGACTTTTATCTACTGGAGTTTGCATGCTAATCTTGGTTGCTACTAACAAATAAAAGTCCTGTCTACTTTCAGGATTTAAAAAAAATTAGGTAAAATGTATACAAAGATTTTAAAGATGTAACAGATGCTCTTGGAGTTTTTGCCTCATGATTGTTCCAGTTTTTACACTCCTATAAAAGCCAACAATTCCTTGTAGTCTATCCTCTGGCAATAACTGCATTTTTGCCCACTTCTGCTCTGCCTCTCTTAGGTAAGATTCTAGGTGCAACTTTGAGAAAGGATCTAATGAGGAATGCAAGGATATTTCGAAGGCACTATTCTGCCCTGCATTTTTGTGGGGATGGTTTCATTCAGCGCCTTCCATTCACTTAGCCATACAGCATTCTTCCATTGTCTGGATTTCCCAGAGTTAATTTAATTGGTCCCTAGGTTGAAAAAAAAAAACCCACAAAACATAAGGTTGTAACTGCTATGATTAGCAACAGTGTTGAAGACATATGTTCATGGGCATGCAAATTCAAGTGTAGCATCAGTAGTTTACAGTAGTAAAACCGAAACTCATAGGCCTAACAGATCTATTAAAAGTTTTAATATATGCCAAGTGCTGGTGGCCCACACCTTTCATCCTAGCTACTGGGGAGGCTGAGATCTGAGGATCACAGTTTGAAGCCAGCCCAGGCAGGAAAGTCCATGACACTCTTATCTCCAATGAACCACCAGAAAACCGGAAGTGGTGCTGTGGTTCAAGTGATAGAGCACTCGCCTTGAGCTGAAGAGCTCAGAGACGGTGCCCAGGCCCAGCGTTCAAGCACCATGACCGACAGAAAAAAAACTAAAACAAAAACAAAAACCACAAAACAGCGATCATACCCTTCCACCAGACAGGATGCAAGTCTTAGACCAATTTCATGTGTCTTTCTATGTCCTGTCATCTGCTCATTTTTTTCCCCCATCCCTTGCATTCTTCTCATCTAGTGTTTTCTCTCTGAGAGTTAAAAGCATCTTGGGTCTGGGAGGAAGGCTGGGCCCTGGCGCTTCCTGAGCATCCATCCTGCCTGGAGGAGGGCAGAGGGGCTTTGTGAGGGTATTCTGAAGACCAGATGCTAAGCCATCCCAACCGGCCGGCAGGGGAGGCCAGCAGGGGAGGCCGGCCGGCGAGGCCGGTGGAGGTGGACAGCAGCTGTATCCCCGGGGAGAGTGCTTACTAGGCCCCCACAGCCGCTGGCACTGGTCGTGGTAGGTGAGGCACATGCCGATGTAGCAGTAGGCCTGGCCGCTCTCGCAGGGGGTGCCGTCCATCTGGTAGAAGTTGGAGGGGCAGTGGGGAGACTTGCCCGTGCAGAATTCCGGGAGGTCGCACTGCCCTGCCTGCTCCCGGCACAGGGTGCCGGGGGCCACCAGCTGAGTGGAGAAACGCAGAAGTCAGCCTTCTTGGTGCCCTCAGCCCCAGCCGCCCAGGGCTGGCGAGCAGCACTCGGGGGAGCAGAAGTCCCCAGAATTTTCCACCACCTCTGGTCCCCAGTGACCATTAGTGCAAGCCATCACCGGCCTCCTAGGAGCAAAAGGATTCATGGCTGGGAATCTTCAGGGTGTCTGCCCAAATGCTAAATCCCTTCGTCTTCAGAGCGGCGGAAAGAAGCGAAGGTCAGAGATAACGTGTGCGGCATCATTTCGTCTCCTCCGCACCGGCTGGTGATAGCTCTGCCCACACAGCTCCTACTAAGAGCCCAGGGCCAACAGGACTTCACTTAGTCCTCACGAGAGTTCTATGGAACCATCTCTACTGGACAGAGGAGGAAACCTGAGGCTTGAAGAGGTTGAAGAATATATCTGAGGGCTGGGAAGGTGGCTCAGTGGTAGAGTGCTTGCCTGGCATGCATGAAGCCCTGGGTTCCATTCCTCAGTACCACATACACAGAAAAGGCTGGAAGTGGCGCTGTGGCTCAAGTGGTAGTGTGCTAGTCTTGAGCAAAAGCTCAGGGACAGTGCCCAGGCCCTGAGTTCAAGCCCAGAACTGGGGAAATATATTTAGATAGATAGAGATAGATGGAGATAGATAGATAGATAGATAGATAGATAGATAGATAGATAGATAGATGTCTGAAAACTCAGTGTGAGAGGCAAAGGAAACACACACACACACACACACACACACACACACACACACACACACACACACACACACACACACACACACACACACACGATTCACCTAACACCTCTTGGATTTACAAAGCTCCCAGCAATACCACAGTCTACCATGGAGCCCGGACGCAGGCCCGCCCAGCTACTCTGCCGGTCCAAAGAGCCCAATATTAGCTCACGTTGGGATACCGTCAAAATCCTTCAGACTTTCAGAGATCCTGGGCGCTCAGAGTTGCTAACACTCTTCTCGGTTTATAGATAAAAACCCTAAGGCCCCATGGCTAAGAAAGAGGTAAAAAAAAAAAAAAAAATGTAGGTTTCAGACAGCAGGTCACACACCAGGAGGGTCCGCGTGGGACTGAATAGAAGGTCAGACTCCAGGCTCTTCCTGGGAGGGGGCTGGAATGGACTCAGCCCCTCGCAGCCCTGGACAAGGGAGGGAAGCCGGGCAAGGACACCCACAATGGGGGAACAAATGCCTCCATTCCTGGGAGAGTATGCTGGGGGGGGGGGTGCTGCACACCAGCTCATTCCTCGCAGGAGGGATTGGGGGCCAAGGAGGCCCACCCCGGGGGCATCTCTAGAGCCTGGTGAGAATTGAGGACTTTAAGCAGGATCTCTAGAGCCTGGTGAGAATTGAGGACTTTAAGCAGGAGTAGGAGCTTGGGCAGCCACTCAGCCTCTGTGTGTCGATTTATCCACCCACAATCAGAGGTAACGCCCCCTCCTGGGCTTGTCAAGGGGACACGTGTCGGACTCACTCCCCGCAAGAGGTGGGGAGAACACAGGTCCGTGGCTTTAGGCCAGAGCCCTGACAGATTTATATATCAATCGCACAGATGTTCAAATATTGTAGCACAGATATATATATATATATATATTGCAGACACGTGCATGTCATGCATATGTATGCATGATGAACTGCATATGTATCTTGCAAAGCCTTCTGGGAAGAGCACCGTGTACCGATCACACACCTTAGTGTTTCTGTAATGAGACCTAAGTGTTTGGCTTGGGTGTGCGTTGTCTTTTCTTTCTTCCTCTTTCTTTGATTTTCACAGTGGGATCTTACCACGTGACCCAGGTTGGCCTCCAAGTCCCTTTTTTTCTTTTGCTCAAGGCTGGTACTCTACCACGTGAACCACAGCTCCACCTCTGGTTTTATTTTGCTGGCCAATTGGAGCCAAGAGTCTCACGGACTTTCCTGCCTGGGCTGGCTTTGAACCTTGATCCTCAGACCTCAGCCTCCTGAGTAGCTAGGATGACAGGCGTGAGCGCCATTGGCATCCCACTTTTCTTTTCTTTCTTTTTTTTTGGGGGGGGGGGGGACAGGCAGTGGTGGGGATTGAACCTGTGGCCTCGCGTGGCCTCTCGCATGGGTCTACACTCCAGTCCTGCGCGTGGAACCTGGCTGCCCGTGGCTCATCAAGTTGAGTGAGGAAGCTGGGCCACCCCGCAGCCGAGGGGGGGAGGGGGGCCTGCGGCTGCAGGCTGTCAGGTTAGCGCCCTACAGAGAACCAGTCCCAAAGGCTGCTCACCTTGCAATTGTGGCAGCAGGCGCCGTGGGCGCACTCCAGGCCTTCCTTCAGGGTACAGTTGGAGGCATTACAGCAGGGGTTGTCGCATTCCTAGGGAGGCAGTGGAGGGGGAGGAGTCAGGGACAAGCCCCGCCCCCAGGGCGGACTTCACCAGCCTCAGCATCCCCAGGTAACAGGTGTTTTGCCATAGCAAACACACACATACACACACACACACACACACACACACACACACGTGCACAGGCCTCGGGGCCACAACTTAGGAGCAGCGATGCTGCAAGTGCAAATCTGCCCCTACGCTTTGATTCTCCATTTACACTTCCATTTACAAAATCCTTCTACTCCTGGATGCATTTCTGAAGTGTCGGAGCTCCGGGGGGTGGGGAGGGGGAGGGGGCTGGGGAGGGGAGGGTAGCCTGTTTCACTAGTTCTTGTTTTAGTCTGAAAGTTACACCCTTATGTTCAAATCTAAATTTAAAAGAAGAAACACCACACCGCAGAAGCTGATGAAGGCCAGGCGCTGTCACAGATGGTTCACGCGCAGGAGTTCACACACATAGTCTCATCCGTGGAAGCACAGAGCTGAAACAAGTCAGTTCTGCTTTTATTCCTTTTCTTTTCTTTTTTTGTCAGTCATGGGGCTTGAACTCGGGCCTGGCTGCTGCCCCTCGGCTCTTCAGCTCAAGGTAAGCGCTCTATCACTTGTGCTTTTCTAGTGGTTGTTGAAGATAAGAGTCTCACGACTTTGCTGCTCGTGCTGGCTTTGAACTGTGATCCTCAGATCTCAGCCTCCTGAGTATCTAGATTACAGGCGTGAGCCACCGGCGCCCAGCTAGTTCTGTTTCTCCCCCCACACCCCCAGAAAAACATGCTTCTGTGGCAAAGGACAGGACGAGTCTGTGTGCCCGCCACACTGGGTTGGAAGACTAGAGAGAAGGAAAAGCTGATCCAGGGAGCTCTGCTGTGTCTTTCTCTCCCTTCCCCAGCCTGGACTGCCCTTCCTACATCCCCTTTCAATCTTCTCTTCTCTAGGCAGAATAGAATGAGCTTGCAATATTGATTGATTGAGTGATTTGTCGGTTGTGGGGCTTGAACTCAGGACCTGGGTGCTGTCCCTGAGCTTTTCCACTTAAGGCTAGCGCTCTACCAGTTTGAGCCATAGCACCACTTCTGGTTTTCTTGAGGATAATGGGAGATAAAGAGTCTCCCAGGCTTTCCTGCCTGGGCTGGCTTCAAAGGACCATCCTTAGATCTCAGTCTCTTGAGTAGCTAAGATCATAGTCATGAGCTACCAACCAGCACCTGGCCAAGCCTGCTTTTTTATGGAAGCTCCTCAGGCTCATGTTCAAGTTCATATAATCCAGCTGTGTGGCCTTAGAACAAATTCAGAGAACCCAGGGGCCCATCTGCACCTCCTCTGGAGAACAGAGAGTCAACATGCCAACGGGCCATAGCTTCTGGGCAGGCTAGACATGCACAAGAACAACTTAACTCTTCAAGAGAGCCAGGCACCGGTGCCTCACACCTGTAATCCTAGCGACTCAGGAGGCTGAGATCTCAGGGTCCCAGTTTGGGGGGGTCCAGTCATGGGGCCTGAACTCTGGGCCTGGCGCTGTCCCTCAGCTCTTCAGCTCAAGGCTAGCACTCTACCACTTGAGCCATTACGCCACTTCCGACTTTTTTTTCTTTTTTGCTTATGTGGTGCTGAGGAATCGAACCCAGGGCCTCATGCATGCAAGGCAAGCGCTCTACCACTGAGCCACCTTCTCAGCCCCTCAGGGTCCCAGTTTGAAGCCAGCTGGGGAAAGAAAAGTCCATGAGACTCTCATCTCCAATGGCCATTAAGTGGAGCAGTGGCTCAAGCCTTGAGCACCAGCCTTGTGCAAAAAAAACTAGGGGGAGAGCACTCCAGCCCTGAGTTCAAGCATCAATTCCAACACACACACACACACACACACACACACACACACACACACACACACACACACACACACACACACACACACACACACACACACACACGGAACTTTCAGAGGATGTAGGAGCATCCTGGGGTAATTCTCTGCACATCTTCTAGGCAACGGGGTCTCTGGTGGACACACGCAGGCAATCCCAACGACCAAGGAGTTACTGATCGCAGCCCCATCTTCCCTGGAGCGCGGGAATCGACACCAATGCGCAAGGACACTCACGTCTTCCTCTCCACAGTCGCATTCTTCCCCGTCCTCCAGGTATCCGTTCCCACATCTCCGGCCTCCATACAGTGTCCTGGTGTCCGGCATATTGGAGAGACACATCCCGCCCCCCGACTGCAGGTACCTGTCCATCTCCTTCCTATTGCAGCCATTGAACACTCTGGGGAAGGGGTGCCTGGCAAGAGGGTAAGGTTGGAATTAACGGGGGCGATGCACACACCATGAGATAGCTTATAGTCCTACTGCACACCCGACCCGGCCGATGCCACCTGAATACAGCTGCCACAGCCGCACGTACACGTCTTTTGTAACACTGATCAGCATGTTAGCTTCATCACGAAAATAGGAACCTTGCCATTCTGGTGTATTCACCTTTTTTGTGTGTCTATGTGCTGCGTTGGGCAACCCAGTGAGATGCCATCTTAAAAAACAAAAATCTGCCAGGTACTGGTGGCTCACACTTATAATCCTAGCTATCTGGGAGACTGAGATCTGAGGATTGAGGTCTGAAGTCAGCCCAGGCAGATAAATACAAGAGACTCTCATCTCCAATCAAACAGTTAAAAACCACTCAGGAAGCTGAGAGCTGAGGATCACGGTTCAAGGCCAGCCCCTGGCAGGAAAGCCTGTGAGACTCTTATGTCTAATTTGCCACCAGAAAACCAGAAGTGGTGCTATGGCTCAAAATAGTAGCCCACTAGCCTTGAGCAACAAAGCTCAGGGACAGAGCCCAGGGGCTGAGTTCCAGGCTCGCCCCTACATCCCTCCCCCCCAACCTCCTCCCCTCTAGGCTCACTATCCTCACTTTTCCTGTTGACTCACCCCGTGGCGGCCGCCATGATGCACCCGCCATCTTGGGCACTGGCTGGACAGCAATGCTTAACATCGTGGCTCATGCCAAAGTTGTGGCCCATCTCGTGGGCCATGGTGGCAGCCACCCCAATGGCATTCTCAGAGTGATCCTGCGCGGGGAGAGAAGCTAGGTCATTCAAGGGCCACTGCCCCGTCTCCCCAGCTTCCACCTCTATCTCCGTAGCCCAGCTTTGCTGCTTCCTCTTGGATTCTCTACCTCAGGTTCTCCAGGCCTGATTTCAACCAAAAAGCCCCAAACCACTGACGTCAAAGCCGGTAATGGGGTGCTGAGGGCAGCCCACAATACAGGTACACCCCCCCAGACACAGCACACATAAGCGTGTGGTGTTTAATCATCGAAAGCAGGAGCTTAAAAGGCGAGAAGGCAAGGTGGCTGTGCGCCTGCCTGTAATTCCAGCTACCCAGGAGGCGGAATCTGGGAACATTGTGATTTGAGGCCAGTGAAGGCAAAAAGAAGGAAAGGCGTCCGTCTCAACCAATAAAATGCGGGGTGCCGTGGCACAAGCCTGCCATCCCAGCTAGGCACACAACACAAATGGGAACATCTATCTGTGGCTCAGGCAAAAAGCAAGACCCAACAGATTGGAAAAAATAGGGCCGGGGATGTGGCTCAAGTGGCTCTTGTTAATGTCAGAGCTTCATTCTTCCTCTATAACAAATATCCAGTTATTATTATTATTGTTGTTATTTTTAAGGATAGCTTCCCATACATGCTTATAATCCTAGCAACTAGAGAGGCGGAGGTAGCAAGATCCTGCTTTGGGACTGGCTCTGGGAAAGTTTGTGTGAGACCCTATCTAGAACACAAACTAAATGCCCAGGACCAAGTGCATCCCTGCAGCTCAAGTGGTAGAATACTCGAGGCTCCAAGTTCAATCTCTGGTATTGGGGATGCCTTTGTGACATCATTTACATCGCATGTGACTTACCACGTTCACCCCTCCAGACTGGTACATGGAGCACATGGCCATGAGCGGAGCCAGGCCGATGGTGGCGCCGTGGAAAGACAGGCCCCTAGAGCAGGAAGAGCAAAGATGACAGCTCGGGCTGAGAGAGCTGCTCCCCTGTGCCTGGGGGATGGCTCCTATGTTCTTGGGGTCCCCACTGCCATTTCCAGATCATTCCCAAGGGGAGGGGCCTGGGATCCTTGACCACTGGTCACCACACCTCTCAACTTCCTCTCATGCATTCCCCTCCCCCAGACACTCTTCCCTACCATTGCCCAGAGCCAGTTCCCTCCAGGGAGAAAACAGTCCCACCCCACTCATCAGAGACCAGAGCAGGACAGGGGCGGATGGAGGACTGGGCGGCGCAGGTTCTGATGCTCAAGGAATCACGCCATACAGCCAGCTGCCCCCTGTGGTGTGTGTCTCTGGGGCCAGATTCCTTCTTACAAAACTGTGGTGGTGGGGGGGGGAGGGAGGCAGCCAAGAAACAGCTGTGTCCCTCCAGGAACCTTCCAGAGTGCAGCTGCGTGCAAGGCCGCGCCGCTCCTGCCTTTGTTTTGCAATGGCAGGCCAGCTAGGCCGTCCTCCCGCCCCACCGGCTCCTGCCTGAGCCAGCCTCCTCTCAGCTGCAGATCCATCCAGGGTGAACGAGAAGGAATAAAGGAAACCTCGGAGCTATTTAAAGGATCTCCGTGGAAATTCCGTAGGTGGTAGCCATCTGCGTGTAAGCCTCTTTTTCCCCCTAGACCACAGCGCCTTGAGAGCCGGGCCGTCCTGTCTCTTTGGGGAATCGTTAGAACCTAGCATCTGACGTCTGTCTAGTGGGCCCTAAGCGAGAGGTTTGCTAAATTCAACAGAGACTTGTCTCCAGAGAAGCAGGCTGCAGAATAGATGCTAATCTTATCTAAAGTCTTACTTAGTATTCCATTCAACGTGTCCTGTGGGAAACCTAGATTCAAGGTCTTCCCCCTGCCCTACCCCACCCCAAAAGTAAGACATCAAGCTTTCAAAGTTCATTGAAGGCTCAAAGTTTTGGGAAATCAAGCCTTCTCCTGGGGGTGAACAGTGTCATCAAGCGACCACTCATAGCCCAGATTTTGTGTGTGTGTGGGGGGGGGGGACACACAGTTATTTTCCAAAATAGGAAGCCATCGCCCTCTGGGAGCTGTGTCCTCCACCACCCATCCCCGTGTGTGCGCTTCTTTCTGAGGCTGATAAACTCCACACGGTCCCTCCTGGAGATCCCCTCCACCCACCCACCCAGCGCACAGTTCCCACACTCCCTGTCAATTCTCGACTTCCTTCTGGAAAAACAAGGAAACCCCTCTCCCCGGCCTGTGCTGGGAGATCAGACCAAAGTGGTCTAGTGAGATTAGACCTCAGGGTGGCTGAGGCTTGTCGGCTGGCTATGAATCTGATTTCCTCCCGAAGGCAGCAAGCGCTTCAGAGAGAGGCTGCTGACCCCCTCCGAGATAGGTCGGCACAGAGCATGCGTAAGAAAAAAGCCTGGTTATCTGGACCAAGGAGAGGGGAGGGTCTTGGGGACCCAACACTCAAAATGGCTGGAGACAGAAAGGGCAAACTGAGCGCCAGCATCCCCCCCCCCCATCCCACCGCCCCCCAAGGAAGGGATTAAGGGCTTTACGTGATGAGCTGAGCATTGTCGTGGTACTTCTGCTTGAGCAGCTTCCTCCTCCAGCTGAGAAACGACCAGAGGGTGGAGTAGGGATTCTCCGAGACTTCACACATATTCCCATGCGTCCACACTTCCAGGCCCACCAGCGCGATCCGGATGTTCAAGGACCGGTAAAACTGAAAAGGACACCAAAGTCACCATCTCCGCCAGTACCGTGTGGGGCTGATAAAGCTCTGGCCCCCATGGCGCAGCCCCCTTCTGCCTGGGTGGGAGCAGGTGCGAGGCATGACATCCCGAGCTACGCCATCAGCGGACTGGTGCGCCTTTGCCTGCAGGAGACTGAAGGGGAAGAGAAGAGAAAGAAGGGGAGGAGTGGGGAAGGGAGGGAACCTGTTGATCAAGGGGTTCAAGGCTGGGTCTGACCTGAAGCAACTAAACCTCACTGCCAAAGACAGAGCACTTCCGGTGGCTGCTGTAACTTCCGGAACTGACCTCTGGGCAATCATGGGAAACCCAGAGTCCCATGGGATGGGGTCAGGGAGCTGAAGGAAGGAAGGAAATGGAAGGCAATAACCAGACAAGACACTCAACTTCATCATCATGGGGGGAAAAAGAAAAGTCTGATGTTACCGAGGCTGGTTCTGGAGCTAGTGACGAGTGTGCTTTATTGTCCGCCACCAGGATGGGCCTAGGGCTCTAGCTGCTGCCTTATGAATGTCCATAAAGTTCCTCAACACCCCACTTCACAGAGGCTGAGAAAACCAGCATCCCAGATTTCCAAAAAGGAGGAGCCTATTTGAAGACCTCCCCTGCCCCCCTTTCCAAAAGAAAAGTCCCATGTAAGGCCAGGTATGGCTGTGCATGCCTGTAATCCCAGTTTCACCGGAAGTGTAGGTAGGATGATTCAGGAAAAAAAAAAAGTGATGTCCTCACAGAGTGAGATCGAAGGAAGATACTCCTTTTTGTGTTGTTTTTTTTTTTTGGTCGGTCGTGGGGCTTGAACTCTGGGCCTGGGCGCTGTCCCTCAGCTCTTCAGCTCAAGGCGAGCGCTCTACCACTTGAGCTACAGCGCCACTTCCGGTTTTCTGGTGATAGGAGTCTCACGGTATCTCCTGCCCGGGCTGGCTTTGAACCGCGATCCTCAGATCTCAGCCTCCTGAGTAGCTAGGATTACAGGCGTGAGCCACCAGCGCCCGGCACTCCTTTTTGTTTTTAAATGGTTATTGTGGAGCTAGGAAGGTGGCTCAGTGGTAGAGTGCTTGCCTTGCATGCATGAGGCCCTGGGTTTGATTCCTCAGCACCACATAAGCAGAAAAATCTGGAAGTGGTGCCGTGGCTCAAGTGGTAGAGCGCTAGTCTGGAGCTGAAGAGCTGAGGGACAGCGCCCAGACCCAGAGTTCTGCACCCATGACTGGCAAAAAATAAAAATTTTAAAAAAGGTTATTGTAAAGACGATGTACAAGCCAGGCACTGGTGGCTCACGCCTGTAATCCTAGCTACTCAGGAGGCTGAGATCTGAGGATCGTGGTTCAAAGCCAGCCCAGGCAGGAAAGACCATGAGACTCCTATCTCCAATAAACCACCAGAAAACCGGAAGTGGCGCTGTAGCTCAAGTGGTAGAGTGCTCGCCTTGAGCTGAAGAGCTGAGGGACAGCGCCCAGGCCCAGAGTTCAAGCCCCACGACCGACCAAAAAAAAAAAAAAAAAAAGACGATGTACAGAGGGGTTACAGTTACATCAAAGGAGGATACTCTTAGGAGAGGAACAAAAGGCACAATGCCTATGTGCATCTGATCATACAATATTCATCGAAATGAACTGCAGGAAATGAAGATGAGATTTCTTTTTCTTTTTTTGCAGTTTTGGTGTGGTTTTCTTTCCTTTTGGTTCTGTTTGTTAGGCTAGATGTTTTGGGGAGGATAAGGGGAGGTACAGAAATGGAGGGGAAAGGGTAGACAATTGCAGCAGTGGTACTCACTGGACACTATGTTGAAAATTAACTATACAACTCTTGGGTGGGGATGGGAGGGAAAAACTGGGAGAGAGCAAGGGAAGGAGTGACATTGTCCAAAAAGAGATGCATTCTTTGGGCAGGGAAGGTGGCTCAGTGGTAGAGCGCTTGCCTTGCATGCCTGAGGCCCTGGGTTTGATTCCTCAGCACCACATAAGCAAAAAGAAAAAAAAAGAAAGAAAAAAGCCGGAAGTGGCGCTGCGGCTCAAGTGGTAGAGCACTAGCCTTGAGCTGAAGAGCTGAGGGACAGCGCCCAGGCCCAGAGTTCAGGCCCCACAACCGGACCAAAAAAAAAAAATGCATTCTTTATCTAACTTATGTAACTATAACCCTTCTGTACAACATCTTGGTAATAACAATTTAAAAAATTTTTAATGATGCCCTATTTGAAAATAAGTTAAAAAAAAAAAAAAAGCTGGTTCAAGTGGTAGAGTATCTGCCTAACAAGTGTGAATTAAAATCTCAGAGCTGGGAATACAGCTCAGTGGTAGAGTGCTTGCCTTGCATGCCAGAAGTGGTGCTTGTGGCTCAAGTGGTAGAATGCTAGCCTTGAGCAAAAAGCTCAGGGACAGTGCCCAGGCCCTGAGTTCAAGCCCCATGACTGGCCAAAAAGAAGTAAAAATAAATGGAGACCCACTGGAAATTGGCAGGTGCTTCTCCAGCTAAAAACAGTCATTGGGGCAGTAATGTTTGGGCACTGTGGAAGCAGCGAGGTCCACAGACGTTAGGGAAGCCACTGAACTCTTGGTAAGAAGACACTGGCGGCAGAACCTGGGATTAGGACCCCAGTGCCTGCACCTGACCCTGGAATTTGCTTCCGTGGGAAGCTCTGTAAGGAAGTGAACTTGGAGGCGCTGCTCCGGATGGATGGGACCCACGACTCAGCAAATGGAAGTCGGGCATCCAAGTTTTAGCTCCGCAATGATTATCTCATGGTTATTGCTGAGGGAACTGGGGGGGGGGGGGGGGGGAGGAGAGGGGACTGTCATCTGTGTCCCCAGGACAGAACCAAACTATGAATCTGAGAACTTCCCGGCTGATGACCTCTGAACCTCTAACCTCTAGTCGTAGACCAATATAATAATATCCATGAGCAACAAAGCTCAGGGGCAGCACCGGGTCCTGAGTTCAAGCCCCATGGCTTGTTTTATGTCTATATTATGTTTTATGTCTATATTATAGATATCGTATTTTTTCTTTTAAACTGAAAGTCATTGACTTAGTCTAATTCTTTGGTTTTATAAACAAAGCAAACACAAGAGCAAAAACAAAAGAAATTCTGAAACCCAAAAAGCCCGTGCCTCGGGATGCCTAGTGAGCAATCCAGCAGAGGGCGCTATCTCCCGTGTGCCCTTCTGGGGGCCGGCCCCTCCCACACAGCGCATCATCACCCCCTCCCCCCCCATCACCCCCCATCACCCCCCCCCCCCAAGCCTCACCTTGTCCACGTAGTTCGCAATCTCCAAGAGCTTGTGCTTGGTGGCGTCTTGGTCTCGGCGGTTCTTCTCAAACTAAATAGAAAAACACACAGCCAGGTGAGACCCTCTGCCCCCAAGTGCCTCTTCCCCGGCCCTTTCTGGGCTTCATTACTCCGGCTTGTTTCCCCCTCTGTCTTCTGTCATTGCTTTCCTCCATCTGCAGATGGAGTCCCATTCACTTTTCTTCCCTGGACTGGCCTTGAACCACGATCTTCCCAATCTCATCTTCTCACATAGCTTGGGGTGACAGGTATACACCACCCCACCTAGGTAGGGGCTTAGAAGGGGTTTCACAAGCTTTCCTGCCCAAACCACCATCCTCCTGTTCTTAGCCTCCCAAGAAGTTAGGATTACAGGTGTGAGCCGGTGGCGTCTGGTGATGAGCAGACAGGTTGATGCGATCAGATAGTCTACCACAATGATGGTTCTTGGGAGGGAGTTTCTTGGGTCGGGGCTGTCTCAGCGTCTACCTGCTCAGTGCTAGGCACCCGATCGGTCAGGCAGCATTATGAACTGAATTCTATGCTTCAAGCTCTTGAAGTCAAAACCACCTTATTTTCTTGTCCCTCAAATGCCAAGGCCCCTAGCCACCCCCCTTTGGGGTATTATCCACCACCCGGATAATACGAGGTTTTCGGGTTTTCCTTGGTCTTTCTGTCAACTCATCAAACCACAGCAGTGGCTACAAGCAAGACACTGTGTTTAGCATGTCGGTCCCAGACTAGACGACCTTCAATTACAATGCCAAGAGGACCAGAAATAACCACGATGACAGATCCTCAGCTTAAGGAGCACATGATTAAAGGGGCCACGAAGCCTGCTGAGAAACATGTGCAGAAATAGCCGCAGCGGGAAGCCACACAATGTCACGCAACAGGACAAGAGGACCGTCCGTCCGTCAGATGTTTAGCAAACAGGCCTTATCTGGCAGTGCCTTCCCCGGAGAGGAGGACTCTGAACCAGACATTGGTAATCAAGCATAAGAAGAGTGCCGTGCTTGATTACAGATGTCTGCCGTGGGTACCCAGGAAGAGGATCTGTTCGCAGGGACCTCTGATTCTGTCTCAGAAGCGTAAGATCCTGGCCAGCTGCGACAATGAAGAGGAGCTTCACAATTTGAAACATTAAAAAATTTCCTGTAACTGCAACTTAAGTTCACAAATGGTGAGACGTTCCCATACACTCCAGTGTAAAGTGGAATCTGGGTAGCTGTTTTTATTATCGTGAGTGTCATACTTGATCTGTTTAATTCCAAACCTTCACATCCTTCCTCCATCCCACTCCATGGGAATAACCAAACAAGCAACAACATGACCAGCCAAATACAACACCTGGTGTGTTTGTTTGGACAGGATTGTGTGCCCGCTCTCATTCAGGAAAGACACACACACACACACACACACACACACACACACACACACACTCCCTCCCTTCTCCTACTGGTCATGGGAATTCCCGGGTTGTGTGCCCGCTCTCATTCAGGAAAGACACACACACACACACACACACACACACACACACACACACACACACACTCCCTCCCTCCCTTCTCCTACTGGTCATGGGAATTCCTGGGATTCCCCGGGACTATCACCTTTGCTTTCTACAGAGTTATACATTCTAAACTTTTGCAAAATGGTAGTCTGGATGTTTCCATCATGCAGACCTCCCCCAATTGCCAAACTGGTCTTGTGGCACAAAAAAAACTTTTTTTGGGGGGTAGGGGGGGTCCAGTCGTGGGGCCTAAACTCTGGGCCTGGGCGTTGTCCCTCAGCTCTTCAAGGCTAGAGCTCTACCACTTGAGCCACAGCGCCACTTCCTGCTTTTTTCTTTTTGCTTATGTAGTGCTGAGGAATTGAACCCAGGGCCTCAGGCATGCAAGGCAAGCGCTCTACCACTGAGCCACCTTCCCAGCCCCACAAAAAACTTTTACATCAACGCCATCCGCTCAGTTAAATATTTATGAGCACGCTGGGGTAAGATTTCCCTCTTTCAAATATATTAATCCTGTCCTCAAACAAGCAAGGCCACCATCGTTGAAGGCCCTGTTTAAAAAGTCGGCCGCAGGAATCTGTAAACCTTGCCTTTAAAGCTCCACACAGTAAATATTTTAGGCTGGATGAGCCATCCAGCCACTCAGCTCTGCCTGGGTGGCTTAGAAGCAGCCTTGTTTAGTACAAACCCACGGTTGTAACTGGGTTCCAGTAAACTACGCACGTCCATGGTGGGCTGGATTTGGCCACGGGGTAGATCCTAACCCTGGAACTAAAGATTAAAAAAAAAGTAGCTCAACCTTCCATTTCCTTGGGTGATGCCGGAAGCACACGGTGCATCACCTCCTTTCCCCCCAACCTCACTTCCTGTGGGCACCAAGGAAGTGCTTCACAGGCCTGCGTTACCATGATGCTGTCCCCTCCTCCAACGAGAGCCTTGCTCTCCCCGTTCCCCTTGGATGCTGGTTCATGTCAGGATCAGATATGGCCAGAACCACCCAGGAGCTGCCACCGAGGCCCAGGAGGGAAGCAGGACCTGCTTGCGCCTTTGCGCTGCTAACAGCTCTCTGGGACAGACGCCATGTTCTGCTCCCCGTCCAACCCCCCCCCCCAAGTCTCCACTCCCCACTGTCCAGGGGAGGAGGCCATTCTGTCTCTGTACCAAGTTGTAAATCCGGAGGGAAGCAGCCCTCCTGTTTTCTGTCTTCCCCCCCTGCCAGATGAATGAGTTGTCAGGGATGTTATTTCTCCCTGCAGAGCAAGAGAGGCGCCTGGAAGATGGAGGGAAAGAGGTGGGGAGGGGGCCTGAGAATCCAGCCTGGCCTGCCCTCCCCACCTCACCCCTGCAACCCCACCCCTCACGTAAATCAGTCAAGCCTTCCACCGAGAATCCGCGGAATGGCGGAAGCCTGCTCAGTTAGATGACCTTAGTCACATGCAAGTTCAGATACCCTGTCACGGGGTCGGGCGAACTGAGCTATCTCTTGGCAAATGTCCTGATTCTATGAAGTGGGGACAGTTCCACAGGCCAGGGCTTGGGGGGGGGGTAGGTTGGGGGTCCTGCCCCCCCCATCCTGTACCATACTAGTCCTTGGAGAGGAAAGGAAAACCCTAGTGCATACCCCAGTACACACACACACACACACACACACACACAAACACAGTCTGGCAAAACCAACACTCCACAGAGTGAACACTAAGTTCCCTCCCCAGGACGCCCTTCAGCCTCACTCCCATGCCCCGTGGCCTCCCCCTGGTCCTTCAACACAGCTCAAGGGCCACTTCCTATTACCACCCATGCTGGAAGGCAGCTCTCAGGCCTGAGCCTCACCCCTCTCCTCACCCCTGGCTCTGCCCCCAGGACCTGGGCTGCGGGACTGTAAGTAAACCTGGCAGAGCCGAGGGGGTAGCTCCTGTGATGGGAGGGCGAGCTGGGAACATGGTGGGTGAGCTGTGCCCCTGGGGAGCCCAGGTACTGGGGTGGGCAGCACAGGGGAGCTGATACTGTTTGGGGAATGTTCTCCTGGGGGGCAGCCATGTTGTAGATGGTCTGTGGATGGCTCCCTTGGAGCCCTGGAGCCCACATTTGCCTGCATCACCCAGCTGGTCACATACTGTACAGCATGCCAATAGTCAAAGCCATAACCAAGACTGCCCTGGGGGTGGACATGGCTGTAACAGTGGATCAGCGTGAGTAAGAAAATAGCATCCCATAGATGATGGAAAATAGACCACTCCTGATATGAATAAATATCAGAAGATAAGGCCTTCAAGATGCATTTGGATCTGAGAAATGCCAACCACATTTTAATTCTCTGTCTTTTTTTCCCCCTTAATGTTAGTTCTGGGGCTTGAACTCAGGACCTGAGCACTGTGCTTTAGTTTTTATGCTCAAGGCTGGTGCTCTACCACTTAAGCCACACCTCCACTTCTAGCTTTGGGGTGGTTAATTGGAGGTAAGAATCTACGAATTTTGATCCTCAGATGTCAGCTTCTTAGTAGCTAGGATTACAGGCATGAGCCACCTGTCCCTGCCTCTGTCTGGCTTTTCTATCTTATTGTTATATTGAGCTAGGACCGGCTTTTCCTAGGGGCCCCTCCCCTCCCCAAGTGAAAATGGCAAAAATTAAAATTAAAAAAGAGCATTGGGTCAAATTTAAGGTCAAAAAATCCTGTAAAGGGCTGGGAAGGTGGCTCAGTGGTAGAGCGCTTGCCTTGCATGCATGAGGCCCTGGGTTCGATTCCCCAGCACAACATAAGCAAAAAGGAAAAAAAAAGCTGGAAGTGGTGCTGTGGCTCAAGTGATAGAGTGCTAGCCTTGAGCTGAAGAGCTGAAGGACAGCGCCCAGGCCCAGAGTTCAGGCCCCAGGACCGTAAATAAACCAAAGTGTTGACATTTCCCCAGAGCAGTTGGATGGCCACAATCAGGAGCAGAAAATGGTTTCTGCTAAACCCACTACCTCCCACTCACCTCTGCGTAATCTGCCACGAGGTAAAGCTCCACATACTTCATTGAGTGCAAATTGTCTCTTTTCATCTAAAGAAAGACAGAAGCAGATCAGAGCTGTAGAGATGGTGGACTTGGCCTCAGTGAAAGAAACCAAACAATCACAAAAAGCCTGCTGAGAAATGCAGTCGGTAGTTAGGAAGAGGTGGAATTTAGGCCTCCAAAGTAGGGGAAAATACACTGACAGCCAAGTTCCCAAATAAACCTTAGACCACGTGACTTCTGTGCACAGGATGAAAGTGGCTATTGCAAATTTCCTAAATTGTTTTCACCTTCTATAGTTTTTTGTTTGATTTTGTTGTTGTTGTTGTTGGTTGTAGGGCTTGAATTCAGGGCCTGGGAACCATCCCTGAGCTCTTTTGCTCAAGACTAGCACTCTATCACTTTGAGTCACAGCACCACTTCTGGTTTTTGAGTGGTTAATTGGAGATAAGAGTCTCATGGGGACTTTTCTGCCCGGGGTGGCTTTGGACTGCAATCATCAGATCTCAATCTCAGCTTCCTGAGTAACTAAGTTTACAGACGTACCCACCAGTGCCCAATACCTTCGATAGTTCTTTTTCCCCTCATCTTTTATAGTTTCTGAACTCAACATCTTTTTTTTTTGGTCCTGGGGCTTGAACTCTTGGCCTGGGCACTGTCTTTGAGCTCCTTTTACTCAAGGCTAGCTCTCTACCACTTTGAGCGACAGCATCACATCTGCATTTTTCTGTGATTAATTAGAGATAAAGAGTCTCATGGACTTTTCTGCTCAGGCTGGTTTTGAACCATGATCCTCAGATACCAGCTTCCCAAGTAGCTAGGATTACAGGTCTGAGCCACTGGAGCCTGGCCAACATCTATTTTAAATGTAGTGTTTCTCTCCCAAACAGTTATTCTCTTATGAGGTTATCTCATGGTCAGCAGAGATTTTAGAATAAAAGGAGCAGGATTTTCCCTCCCTTGGTTTGGAAATACTCCTCGATTCAAAGTAAGGGTACTCAGAGGGGAGAAGTCTACTTCCAGACTGACAGAGGGATTTGAAACTCACCCTGCGAGGTTGTTTCTTGGTCTGTTGTGTAAACTGAAGAGCCCAGTTCCCAGCAGTGGGCCTAGAGTGCTCAAACCCACAGTTGCCAGTGGGCAGCTTGAGATGTTCAGATCTATAAATAAGGTGTTGTCCCTGGCTGTCAGGGAGGGGCTCGATGATGTAGCTGAGGTTACTTCTCACCATAATCAGTCCTCTGTTGGTAGAAGAAATAGAATCTCTAGTCAAAGAGAGTGAAATGGAAAAGTCCCTCATAGAGGACCATATGCAAAATGGCATGGATGGTTTGATCACACCTGCTCTCCCCCCCCCCCCCCCCCGCCCCAACTCCCCACACACAATGTGGCCCAGTGCCCCACCACCACAGTCAGATGAAAATTCAACATCTCCCTTTCTAGAAACACACAGATATGCAGATATGGAGTTAGAGCCCTCAACCTCAGGGCACTTGGCCTCCTAAATCTATTACATCTGAACTTTGGATAACAAGATACAAATCTAACTATGACTCAAGAGAAATGAAAATTACTTTTTTGCCATAGCAAGGGAATGGGATCAAGGCTATGGAGAGGATGAAGGCCAGGATGACCTCCCCAGCATCCCGGTAGCATTTCATATGCTCCAAAACCCACTCAGGCTCTTGCCTCACAGCCAGTTCTGAAGTTACAGCATCCCCAGCTCAGGGACTCTGCCACTGTTCATTGGTAGTCATGTTCTCTTGGTCTGTGTTGACCCCACCCCACAGCTGTTCCCCACTCCTTCCCGGGTGTCAACCCCAGGTTTTGTCCTTTGGGAAGAGCCTACAAAGTTCTCAGGAAAGACATATCTGGTGGTGACTAGCTGAAGCCCTGCCCAGATCCATCCCTGGCTGACCTGGTCCCTGTGCCAGGGAGCCTGCCAACATCCCAACTGATAATACAGGCATCCTCTTAGGTCAACACGGGAAAGGGCAGAGGCGAGAGCAAGCTATCTCAAGCTATGGCCTCCCTCCTCCCCCCCCCCCCCAGCCTCCCTCCCCTCCCTGCTGACCAATGCCTCACCCTCCACCTCAGTTCACCCTCACCGCCACAATGCTGGCACCACAGTAGGGCTGAACCACAAAGCAACTGGTGGTCCTGTGAGTGCTGGGGTGTGGCTGTAATCATTATTGAACCCAGTGAGTGGAAAGTTCCACACTGGAACTGGCGCAAATTCACATGTTAGCCAATTATGTGAATAAACCTCTGGACCAGGCAAGACAGAGACCATGCCCAAATGGGAAGCATGATGGACAAGAATCATCACAGTAGAGACTTTGCTGCGGGCCAGGCTCTAAAACATCTTTTCATTATTTACACCAAACATCTCTGATCCTCACAAGGGAGATCCCTGGGGGACCAGTGGGAATGCAAAGGCTCAGCAAGGCTCATTAATTAAAGCAAAGTTACACAAGTAGTAAAAATAAGTGCTGGAGCATTCTGGATCCAGAATCTTCACCTTGACCTTACCCAGACCGTCACAAATGCCCTACCGAGGGGATCAGAAAGGTATCCCCAGTTTGCACAGAGCCTCAGATGACAGAGCCAGCCATTGTTTTCTGTGACCCAACTGGCTTGTCTACAGAGGGACCCCAGGACTCGGGGAATGTACTTTCAAAGGTGCCCATATAATTAAACTCCTGGGAAATTAACACATAAAGTCTGAAGCAATCATTAAAATAATTTGATATATGCACACATAATAGAGATATAATGCCATGTTAGAAAAATGTACAGAAACTCTGTATAGGACGATTATGTTAAAGGGTATGTATATTAAAATGTAATGCTAAAATGGTTACATAATGGCAATTTTCAGTAAGCATCATCTTTAAAAAATAAGTAACTTTCTAAAGAAATATGCTTCCTACTAAGAACAAACTGCAGGCACAAACACTGACACACAGACAAACACACAGATAAACACACACAGTTTTCCAGGGTCCTCAGACTTAGGCAGAGACCACAACCAATACTGGCTGGATTTCTTCACAAATGGTAACAACTCCTCACATTAATACTGTGTGTTAGTGTGGTTGGAGGTGTGGCTCAGGCGGTAAAGCGCCAGCCAATAAGTGGAAGTTTCACATGCAAACTTTGAGTCCCCGTCTCAGAAGAAGAAGAAGAAAAAAGATGTATGCATGCAAGAAGTTAGGGTAACTTTTACATGTGGCTCCTTAATCGGAGACGGGGTTGGGGATGCAACTATTTGAGATCTGAAATGAAATGGTGGCTTACTCCTTTGGAGTCTACAAGTGCCCCTAACTACTAACTCAGCCCTGTTTCTCAAAGGTGTGAGGGACCCAAATAATGTGACAAAGGATTATATCACGTATGTGCATTCCTTTTTTGCAAGTATTTCCAAGTGAGCACACACTTGCGCACTCTTTGGGACTATTTTACGATTATGGGGTATCACTTCTTCAACTTTACAGTCACCCACAGAGTTGTCTTAGATGAGGGGTGCAGACGTTAGCCGGAGGCCCTGCTGAGGACCTCTGTCCCTCAGTCAGCCTGCATGCAGATCCCTCTCTGCGGAAGTCCTACCCACTTCCCAGGAGAGCTCGGTCGCCATGGTGACATCCCTAGGCAGCGCGGCGGGGAGGGCTCTGGGAGGTGGCTTGGGTCTGCGCTCTGCTGCTCCTCCTCTCGCACTCAGATGGACACATCAGTCAACTGCAACCCTGGTTTCTTCAGGTGTGGAGGGAGCAGACCAGGTTCCCCCCACCCCCAAAAGAAAGCCGGAAGCATACAAACCAGAAACACATGGGCAGCTGGCTACTTCAGCACAGCTGCTGGAGTGATTCACGAGAGGGCCGGCCAAGTTCCCACCATTCCAGGCAGAGGGGAGGGGGTCGGGGGAGGAGGGGAGCATAAGTGGGTCACACCTGCACGAGTCTGGTCCCCTTCTAGGGAAGGACTTTGTTTACTCCCAGACTGCAGCTGGGAATGGCCCGGGTCTTGTAAACACCACACACCGTGGCCAGTTGGCTCGGCTCAACCAGATGGCTTGAGTAGGGGACTGGAGGCTATGGCCTCTCCCAGGCAAAACCTATTTCCTGCCTGATTCCCACAGGAGACGGCACCGCACAGCCTGACAGAGGAGCCGGGGTCCGATTCATACACACACCCCGGGGACCCGCCGGAAGAGGGGCCCTGGATTTGGATGGAAATCCGGCAAACTCTTGGCAGGGTTTCGCTGCTGCAAGATGAGGTGAAGCCCACATGTCTGTGCGATGTAGCCACGCACTTGAGTCGTGTCCCCTTGCCTGGCCTTCGTGCTTATGTGACAGATGAGGAAACCGAAGGCTCACTGCCCACAGCAGGCACTCAATAATAACTTGCCGAATGAAAGCAGCGATTACCGCTGAATGATCGAAGGATATACAGAATTCCGCTCCTCCCAGTAGCACGCATGCTGACCGCACTTGGCCACATTTATCCTCGTCCCCCATTCCGGTTCTTCCCAGCCCCGATGTTTTCCCCTCATGGCGGAGGGAATCTTCCTCCCCCCCCACCCCCGTTTTTACTAAACACTATGATCACCCACATTTTAAGACAATCAATCCATGGGAAAGCGGAGTCCAAGCCCAGAAAATGTGTGGACTACCTAGGATTTCCCCAGTGGGTCTCAGCTGCCTGTACCCACTCCAGTGACCCTTGGTCTTGGGCTAGCTCTGCTTGCCTTGTGAACCCCGTTTCTCAGGAGAGCTCCCCTGTAGTTTCGGGGTCTCTTACCGTATGCCCCGGCAGGTGCTGAGGGTGACGCTCGAGTCTCCTGCGTTCCTCACTGTGCCGTGGTAAAAGCAATGATTCTGGAAAAGGAAGAGAAAGAAGGGTTCAGGGCACACAGCACTGGTCAGCAGCTTGAGGTTAACGTCATGACCGTGACAGACAACTGATGGTCAGATCCTCTCCACCCTAACCTCGCATACTGCAGCCCACACGTCAAAAAGCCTTTGAAGCCGGGCACCAGTAGCTCATGCCTGTAATCCTAGCTACTCAGGAGGCTGAAATCTGAGGATCGTGGTTCAAAGCCAGCCCTGGCAGGAAAGTCCTTGAGACTCTCATCTCCAGTGAACCACCAGAAAACCAGAAGTAGCGCTGTGGCATAAAGTGGTAGAGCGCTAGCTTTGAGCTGAAGAGGTCAGAGACAGAGGCCAGGCCCTGAGTTCAAGCCTCATGACACACACACACACACACACACACACACACACACACACACACACACACACACACACACACACACACACACACACACACACACAAATCCTTTAAAGCTACCAGCTACCATCTTGGTTTGATTCTCATTGAAATCTGGGAAGTAGGGCTGGCAGCTATCACTCTGTCCCCTGATCTGATGAAGTTCAGGGGTAAGGACTTTTCCAAAGATCTTCCCTCTGTGTGGGGCTGCCCAGGATTTTCACATCTGGCCATACAGGTTTTCACAGGAGTTCTTAAACCCAGTGTCTCACATCCTTAGGAGAAGAGGAAATGTCACAAAGAAGACACACAGAAAGAGAAGCAGCTAAGGGGCACGTGGAGACCACCAGCCGAGGGACACTCAGGAGCCCCTGGAAGCTGTGAGCGGCGGCCGGTTTGGAAGGGACGCAGCCCTGCCTTGCGGCACCTGGGTTTTGAACTTTCAACCTGCAGAATTGTGAGCAAAGAATGCACCTCCCACCACCAAAGCCATGCCTGGTTCGTACTTGCGTTGGCTCCTGATTCCCCGGTCCCTGATGCCCTTTTCTAGCCATCCTGCTTGTGGCCATCTGGTCCCCCAAACCCAGCTAGATTCCTCCCTCATTGTTCATGGCTGCTGCGTATTACCATGCAACCCCAGAGCAGGGCCCCGGAGGTCCCATAATGGACAGACAGAAACACAGCTGCCGTCTTCAGGAGTTGATGGTCTTTGGAAGCCAGTCCTTACTTGGAAAGCCAAAGATCGTTTCACACAACGTTCATGGTGCTGACAGAGCGAGTCACACGTTGGAGAACCAGCTCAGAGCCTGGCTCCGCAGCCGACGGGTTGCCTAGCCAGCACGAAGCCCTGAGTTCTACACCCCTGTGCGGCCCAAAACAACGACCACAGGACACAGGTAGGGGGCCTACAGCAGCATCTACCAGGCAGACATGACTGCTGGGCCCGACAAAGCGAACGCAGAAGGGGTCACAGGTGACCCATTCCTGTACGCCTCTTCCCCAATGGGAGGAGACGATCTGGCTGGAGCAGAAGCAAACCTCCCGGGTACAGGTTCTGAAAGGGTCTAAAGACATGGGAGCCTTCTCTTGTTCTAACACTCTGAGCTTCAGTAAAGACCATCTTTAAACGTTCAGGGTCTCCAGGCCCATCTCCCATCCAGCTCTGAGACTGAGTCCAACCTGCTAATCCAACGGGAACATTTTTACATAGATTGTCATGCAGGCACCATCCCTGACTGACCAGCCACAAAACCAACCTGTCTGGTCCTCCCCATCTTTGGCCCCGACCTCGTTGAGTGGGGAGAGTGCTATAAACAAAGCAGCTAGCTTTACAGCGCACACACAACTGCAGAGTAGCTGGCTCAGAGCAGCGGGCCGTATTAGTGGCCGTCTTCTTGCTACATTCTTCTTCATTAGGGATGGAACTCGGCCTCAAGAGACTTGGAAGTCCACCAGAGAGCTGAGCCAGGAATCCGCTGGGTCAATCCTCCATCCTGTGCAGGTGAGCCAGGCAGCCAGATCGCGATTCAGGCCAAGTCAACTCTTAGCTGTGGGCTCTTCTCTGGACCACAAGTGGCCCTGCATCTGCTGATAATCCATCAGCCAGAGATCCGGCTCTTTCATCTGTAAGATTCGACTGCAAAGATGCTTTTGCTGGGTTCTGTGAAGGGACTAAGCCTTCCAATTTTGTATCTGCACCTGTGGTGTGTTTTTGTTATTGTTTTTGTGCCAGTCCTAGGGCTTGACCTCAGGGCCTGGGCACTGTCCCCGAGCTGCTTTTGCTCTACCATGTAAGCACCTCTTCCAGCCTTTTCTTTTTATATGGTGCTGAGGAATCGAACCCAGGGCATCATGCATGCTAGGCAAGCACTCTACCACTGAGCCTCATTCCCCGCCCTATCTGTACCCTTTGATCTGAGCTATTTATTCTGAGCTGCATCAGCACCCCCTGATTTTTTTGGGGGGGGTAGGGTAGGGCTTGAACTCCCTGAGCTCTTTTGCTCTAGACTAGCGCTCTACCACTTGAACCACCGCGCCACTTCCAGTTTTCTGGTGATTCACTGGAGATAAGAATCTCACAGACTTTCCTGCCCAGGCTGGCTTTGAACCATGATCCTCAGATCTCAGCCTCCTGAGTAGCTAGGATTACTGGCACCTGCTTCTTTTATCTTCTTAAAGAGGCAGTCCTCCAAGACTCAGGAGATCACCTCATCCCTGTTCTGTTCCTTTGAAGCAGTAATGCTTTGGGAGTCGCTCTGGAGACCAACACCGAGCTAATGTCAACCAGGGCACCAGCCTGTGATTTGGGACAATCTTAACCCTGCATCCAACCCTTCCTTGCCTTCCTGTCCCCGATTCCCTTATTTAACCTGCAGCCCATGTCTGCAGATGGCTGAAGAGGTACAGGAAGTACTGTCTTTCAATGGCTGCCATAGAACAAATCTCCTGTCTCTGCCTTCACTAAGTCTCTTAATCTGGCATATGGGGGGTAGGTGGCTGGGCCTAACTTTAGACTCCTGGAATTTCAGCCTGGGGTGTAGACAGCCAGCTTCTTGTCCACTCCCGCTCACTCCAGCCACGGGGGAGGTGCAAGTACCCACTCTTCCTCTACATCACAATTCCCTGGATCTTAAAACAAGTTGGTTGGTGACCTTCAGCCCTTGGCAGAGAAAAGCCACTATGTACGCCCAGGGGACATTCTCTAGCAGCTAGGAAAGAGGGGAGAGGCAGGCTAATCGCCCCTGGCCAGGAGGCCATCTGCCTGCCACATGGCTCCTGGGCGTGGGCCCAGAGGCCTGCAGGCGGATCCTCACCTCAGCGACTGGCCAAGGTGACCGGTCACCCCAGCCCCCTGCACGCCTCACCCCGCTTCTCTCAGGGAGGGCTGGGCCTCTCTCCTTCCAAGCCTGTGATCCTGTGCTGAGAGTTTGGGACTCCAGGGGAGACTGAGTCCCCCCAGCCTTGGGATGTGATTGTTGCTGAGTGACCCCACCAAGTGGTGTTGGAACGCCAGAGTAAGGGTGGACCCCTGAACCCCACGCTCTGCCTTCCCTGGCCACAAAAGCCTCTGACTCTTGTTACCTTCCAGCAGCCAAGTGGACAAGTTCTAGTCTAAGCCTCGCCGCTTCTGAACGCGGGCAAGTGATCTTTCCTCTTCTCGAAATTCAAATTCCCTCATCTGTCCACTCTGGAGCTGGGAAAGCTGTCATCAATTCCCACGAGAAGCCATGACTCACTGAACGCCACCACCGCCCTGACGATCAGATACCAGTATCGCCATTTTTTAAGATTAAAACAACCACCACCACCAAACAATAATGAGGTCAAAAGGGTTGATGAAGGCCACGAACGGGTGAAAGCCAAGAATACACAGCTGTGGACTTGAGTCAGAGCTCTAATTCTCTCTCTCTGCGGACACATACGCTAAGATTCGTATCCCCAGTGACCTGGCCTAGATTAGAGCTATGGCCCCGAGGCCTGGCCATCAGTCTAGATAAGGTTCCCAGAATTCCCGCCGTGTGAGGCCAAGTTTGGAGCAGAAAGCAGCCGTGATATTTGGGCCAAGGGCTGCTGCGAATGGTTTATTCCATTCCTGTTTCTCCTTGATTTCTCAGCTTGCAAATGAGAAAGCTGAGAGCCTCTTGGGTCTGGGTGGAGACTTTGTAAGATTCCGGTAGCAGAGCATTCAAGAAAATAATGAGAGCCAGGTGCCAGTGGCTCATGCCTGTCATCCTAGCCACTTAGGAGGCTGAGAACTGAGGATCACAGTTTGAAGCCAGCCTGGGGAAAGAAATGTCTGTGAGACTCTGAAGCTCTTATTAACACCAAAAAGCCAGAAGTGGAACTGTGGTTCAAGTGGTACAGCACCAGCCTTGAGAGAGAAAGCTAAAGGGTAGCACCCAAGCCCGGAGTTTAAGACCCACCACTGGCATTTGAAGAAAGGTAACAGTGAGCTATCCCATGGTCCAGCTTCAACCAGCCAGACCCTGGTGGGAGGAGGGATGGGTGGAATGTTTCTTCCACTTCTTTGTTTCTAAGAGAGCCTTGACACTTCTCAGCCCAGTGCTCCAGCGGAGAGCACAAAGCCCGATTGGGGGGCCAGCAATGAGGTCACTGCATTCCATGGGTTCTCTGGCTGGGGGGGGGTCACCTTGGGGGTGGGGGGACGGGCTTTCATACCAGGAAGTATGAGCTCATCGAAAACTTGGGGACAGAGAGCGTTCTTGAGCTGTAGCTCTGAGAGTAGAAGAGCCAAGCTCGGGGGAGCTTGTTCCTGGCCCTAGGGTGGCCAAGAACTGAGGCAGGAAGAAAAGAGAAGGTATGGGCGACTGCTAGACGTAGCCCACTTTGCCTGCTGCCACTTGGGCAGGTCCTGGTAAAGGTGACGGATCTTCATTCACATGCAGCTCGAAGAGCCCTTCAACTGCCTAGTAACCGCACACTCCACCTCCTAGATCCACCCAGAGCTGTCCTGTCCCTTCCCCGGTCAGCGAAGCTGTCCGTGACTAAGAATGGCTGTGACAATCTGGTTAAGACATTCTGTATTCAAACTGGGGCCGATGCTCTCGCCTAACCCTACTGAATCGGGAGATGGAGCGCTGAGGGTCAGGGTTCCAACCCAACCCAGGCACGAGACTCCATGAGACTCTCTTCTCCAATGAACCACCCAAGAAGCCAGAAGTAGAGCTGCGGCTCAAGAGGCAGAGGACCAGCCTTGAAAGAAAAAGCTACAGAACAGCACCCAAGCCCTGAGTCCAAGCCCCGGTACCCGCACACAGACACAGACAGACACTGGGAGGGGGGAAGGTGTCTGATATGAAAATAGACGCAAAAGAAGGCAACTTTTATAACTTAAAATCACATGAATAAGGCAGACCATGAAATCTGCATCCTGATCAGAATTCCATAAACCATATATATCGTGGGAAAGGGATTAATTAAATATCTAATCAGATAGCTTGGCAGAAATGTATTTTTTTTTTTTACTTAACAACTTTGTTAGTATGTGAGCAATTAACATGTCAAGACGACACATCCTTCAAGATGACTTGTACTCGTTTCTGATCAGTGCCATGATCCTAAACCCTTCCGCCCTCTGTGTAGGAATTTTAGCCACAAAGGATGGGCATTAGGCCTTGGTCTTTGGTCAGGGGAAACAAGCTCTTCAGAGAAGGGACCATCGCCACCACACATCTCCATAGGCCCTAGGAACAGGGCCTGGCTAGAGCCACAGCTAGATAGGCAAGTGCTGAGCTGAACTTACCTCAGATTTCAGCGTGGTGGTTTGAGGGGTGCCACTCGGAGTGTAGTGGGTTTCTGTATAGGCTGGAGCAAAAAGATACCTGTGCAAAGAATAAACACAAGCAGACATTAATATCTGTGACAGACTCCAGCCTCTTGGGACCGCCGCCAGTGATGTTTTAATTAATCCATGTATTGATCTCAGGACCTGGACGCTGTCCCTTTAGTCTTTTCTACTCCAGGTTGGCGCTCTACCCCTGGAGCCTCAGTCCCCCTTCCGGCTGTCTGGCGGTTCATTGGAGACACTGACTTCCCAGCCCAGGTTGAATGGCGATCCTCAGATCTCTGCCTCCAGATTAGCTAGGATAATAGGCATGAGCCACCAGCACCTGGCTGTTGATTTGGTGTTTGGTTGGTTTTTGCCCTCCAACACTACAGGTGAAGATATTTAGCATCAGTCCATCCATTTCTCAAGAGAGTTACTTCCCTCCCGTTGCATGTTTGGGTGGGACTGTCAATTGCAGGGTCCCAAAGACCCCTGGCCGGAAGCTGGTCTATGCTTCCAGCAAACCCAATAAACTGATATTTCCAGGTCACCAGGGAGCCTGGGGCTGCCTTCACCCCACTTTCCAAGACTACTGGGTCACGTTTCCAGACTAAGTCATTCTGCCCATTACCTTTCTTCTTTAAACCTGCACATTGGTTTCTCCTTTACTATCGACCCTCAGAAACATACTAAGACTCTCCCACCATGCCAGGCGCCAGTGGCTCACGCCTATCATCCTAGCTACTCAGAAGGCTGAGATGTGAGGATCGAGGTTCAAAGCCAGAAAAGTCCCCGTGAGACTCTCATCTCCAATTAACCACTCAAAAAAACTGGAAGTGGCACTGTGGTTCAAGTGGTTAAGCGCTACCCTCGAGCACAAGGGACAGCGCCCAGGCCCTGAGTTCAAGCCCCACAACCAACAACAACAATAAAAAAGAATCTCCCACCAAAAGTCAGGTGACACGAGACAGAACTTTTTAAAAAAGTTACAAGAAGAGGCTGGGAAGGTGGCTCAGTGGTAGAGCGCTCACCTCGCATGCATGAAGCCCTGGGTTCGATTCCTCAGTACCACATACACAGAAAAAGCTGGAAAGCAGGGTTGGGGTGGGGCGGGAGGAGCGCTGTGGCTCAAGTGGTAGAGTGCTAGCCTTGAGCAAAAGAAGCTCAGGGACAGTGCCCAGGTCTGGAGTTCAAGCCCCAGGACTGGCCCAAAAAAAAGTTACAAGACAAATGAAAGAGTCAAATGGATGCTCAGCGAGTGGAACTGATCTCCTGCCAGTCAAAGTCAGCGTAGGGTGTCAATCATGCCTTGTCATCCTGGCTCCTTAGGAGTCTGAGAAAAGGAAGGTCTGAATTTTGAGGCCAGTCCAGACAGACACGTTCTCAACCCACAGCTGGGCAGATGGCCAAGCACTGGCATCTCTAGCCACCTTGGGGCCAGAGACTTGGGAGAATCATGGTGCCAGGTAGATGGAGGCAGAAGAGTTCTGGAGACTCTTGTCTCTGGGAAGGCAAGCCAGGCTTGGTAGTGTGTGCCTGTAATCTCTGTGATGAAGGGAAAATCAGCATGGCCCGGGTTCTTGAATACTTGGGTTTTGATTCATTTCTGCTATTTTACTATCCCTCTCAGATTTTCAGTTCCTTTTACAGACACACACACATACACACACACACACAAAATGAGGGTAAATTTGTCAAGGCTGTCTTAAGAATGAAGACAAGAATACATGTATCGCATAGCTGGTGCAGAGTGGAGCCGGGTAAAAATAAGCGATTTTCGTCACTGGCTCTGGGCTTTCCAGGCAGGTGCTCTACTGCTGAACCATGCCTCCAGACCTGTTTTGTGCTGGCTGTTTTTGACATCGGGCCTCACTTCCCACCCAGGCATACTCCTGGGCCATAGTCTACGTACTTGAGGCTTTCCACCATAGCTACAATGACAGGCATTCATTTTGCCACTGTACCCAGCTCTCGGTCAAGAGGTGGTCTCATGAACTTTTCTGCCTGAGCTGGCCTCAATTATTGATCCTCCTAATCTTGGCCTCCCAAGGAGTGAGGATGACAGGTGTGAGCCACCAGCACCTGGCTTTACCATTGCTTTTTAGAAGGCTTAGGGTGGAAGACTCCAGATACGCAGATGTCTTTCTAACTCTCTCCAGCCATTAATTCTTGAGCGAGCCGATGAAAAGCAATTAGCTCGTTCCCGCAGCCTGTTTCCTGGGTTGCTTTTGCAGACTGCATAATGGACAGCTGGCCTGGGTTCCGAGTGTAATGGTCCATCCTAGGTGCCAATGGGAAGGCGTGGATTTTTCCCACAGGAAATGCACTTGTGCTAAGTACATTCTCACCCTCTTCTGAGTCCTAGCAGAAGCTAAATAAATCATTTATCCAGACCTTTGCTTCCTTTTCCACCAAAAAAATGGGGAAAATGTATCTCCTTGATAAACTGTCAAGAATCAAATGTCCTAGGACCTCGCAATGGCCCAGGGCTATAATCCCAGCTACTTTGGAGGCAGAGAAAGAAGGATCAAAGTTGGAGGCCAGCTCAGGTAAGAAAAGAAAAAAAAAATTTCTTTTTTGCAAGACGCTATCATAAAGAACAAAGCAGCCATGAAGGGATATGGTGAAGACTCCCAGCTATGAGAAATGCTAGGCCTCGGGAGAGTCAGCCTGAGGCTAACCTAGGAATAAAAAACAAGACTATCTGAACAATAACTAAAGCAAAAAGGCATCGCTGAAGAGGTACACCATCTTCTGAGCAAGTATGAGGCACTAGGTTCAAACCCAGCACCCCCACACCCAGCAAAAAATCAAATGGCATAGTAATGATACATGTCTAAATGCATACAAAATGGCATACGAACACAGTCTAATGCTACAGCCAAAGACCTCATTGTGTGCCCTTAGCCTTGGAGGTTTTCAGATGCTTGCTGGTTCTCAGCCAGACATCCAGACAGAAGCTAAGTGTCTTTCCATGGTTTCTTATTCTGAGGCTCTGCCTCCAGCCTCCATGGATGGATGATGAATATATGGTGGAAAGATGATGGTGGATGGAGGATGGATGGATGACTGAGTGGATGAATGGACAGATGGATGGGTGGGTGGGTGGATCGATGGATGGGTGGATGGGTGAGTAGATGGATGGATGGAATTTCTACCTTGTATAAGAGTCGGACTGGTGGCCACTCAACAATGGAAAACTTCCAGGGGTGGCACGTTACTGACTACCCGACCAGTTCTATCCACACTGAATTATCTCTGTCAGGAGCACCCACCACTGATCACTGTGCATTGCATCTTCTGTATCTCCAGGGAGCAGTGTGCTTTGTCTGCCCATAACCGCCTTTCTAATCAACATCTAGTTTAGAAATGCACACGTTGGGTTCCACCCCAAGTGAGACCCACTGAATCAGATAGAAACCCCAGGGCCTGGCCCCCACCAACTATTTCCTCTACTTCCCTTGTGATTCTGACACAGACTGAGAACGGCTGCCCTAGACTGCAGCCCACCTCACCCACCTGCCTTGACTACTCGCCGGGTCCCACCCAAGCCTGCCACCCACATGTGCTCAGTGCTGGGATCTCTAGTCCTGGCGCACGTGTGAGGTACTCGGCCCCTCCTGTTTCATAGTGGAGTGCTAGGAGGTGCTGGGTGGACCCTAGCACATGGTCCAAACTGAATTCCCATGCCATGTCTATCAGCTATATTCTTAAAGTAAAGCCAGGTACCAGTGGCTCACGCCTGTCATCCTAGCTATTCAGGAGGCTGAGATCTGAGGATTGAGGTTTGAAGCCAGCTGGGGGCAGGAAAGTCCATGAGCCTCTTATCTCCAATTGAAGCTGTGGCTCAAGTGGTAGAGGTGCTAGCCTTGAGCACAAAAGCTCAAAGACTATGCCCAGGCCCTGAGTTCGAGCTCCAGTACAGGCAAAAAGAAAAGCAATCTCTGTTATGTTCAGGAGAGGAGAGCAGAGACGAGAGGAAGAGAGCAGCCACAACACCCTGCGCAGCACCTGGCCCTGTACAGCTAACTCTCGGTGAAACACAGGTGACTCAGACTCACTCAAGGTCCTGAAGTGAAACACGCATGCTCTGAATCCCAACCAGAAAACCCCCCACCCCCAACACACATGCACACCAGACACAAGCCCCAACACCACCACTCTCCTTAGAGGAACAGAACGGACTGCTCCTGGAACTTCACAGGCTCCAGCCGCCAGGCCCACACACAGCACAGGGACTGACGGGGTCAACAATCCTCGGGCCTGGAGATTTCTGGTGACATAGCTAAGCTGAAACTCCCTCTCGGGAGGAACAAGGGGATGATGAAAAGAAACCCACAAAACTCAAGCTGCCTTTCGCCCCATCAGATAAGCCGGTTGGTTACAACAACAATAAACAACAGTGTTGATAAGTTCAAGTACCTTAAAAAACAACCCCCACCCACAGCAAACCCTGCTCCTCCCACAGGCTACCCTCCCCCACTTTCCTCCCCCCCCCCCCACCTTCCCCTCCTTCCCCTGGTCTGTTTCTGCCTGATTCTGCCAAGAACCAACAGGTGTGCTACAGCTGTTTGGGCCCTGGGGAGGCACAGACTGGAGGCTCCATCTTAGTTGCTCTGGGGGAGTTCTCTGGGACCTAGGCCCCTCCGGTTCCCTGCTCATTCTCTGAAGGCCACCATCATGGGACTCAGGAGGCCCACAATGCCAGGAAGGCTCGTGGAAAAATAAACTGATAAAACCCTGGGTGCCATGCGGGTCCTCTGGGGAATTCGACCTCTATCTTCGATAACTGTTCCCCAGATGCTCTTCCGGGCTCTGGGGGTCCTCCTCCCATTAAAACCTTAACCTTTATAGCTTTCTTCCTGTTGGTGGCCACGCCCCCAGCCTCGTCGGACATGCTGATATTAACGTATTAACACTAGTGGGGATTGATTCTGTGCAAGTTATTCAAGTCCCTATTCAGACTATTCAATTCTCCCTTCCTTCGCTTCCTTTCCCTCTTTTATTCCCGGTCCTGGAGATCGAACCCAGGACCTTGAACACGTTGGGCATATG